AAACATTTTATTTTCTCATAATCTTTTATTTTAATGCAGTAAAAAAAATTAATACTAAGCATCTAAAGTTTTAATAAAATAATCAATTAATCTTTATTCAGGATATAAATAATAAAATACTTGCTTCATTACTAATATCCAATATTGTTAAATACATAATTATTTAAAATCATTAAAAATAATAGTAAACTTTTCCAAATGTTTTTAATTTAAAACTCAAGATATTCATTATCTGAAATAAAAGAATAGGAATGACGAAATATAATTAAATGTCTTTGACTTTCTGCATTTCTATTTCCAATCCATCGACATTGTCTTCATCAATGATGATGCATATAAAAATAAACTTTAATCATGGCAGAAGATATAAAAAATTCAATCAATCTAAAAGTGAAAAGATGAATCGTTTAATGAGATCAGGGACTTGAATGTACCACAAAACTTTTTATTCCAGTGCCATTTCTATCGAATTCAATTTGAACTTTTCCATGTGGTGGGTGAGAGAATCTTCTTGATTCCTCACCCGTAGTCACTTGGTCGTTTAAACTTGGTCTTTACGGGGAAGCTCACTGCATTTTTTGTGGCAATAAGGTCTACTTGGTTTTACGACTGCTGACTTTGTGTACATTCATTTTTTATTTTCATTCTGATTCAATGAAATATAGATTATTATGCTTGGTTTAATATTATGAACGTAATATTATTTCATTGGTGGTATTATATATTATGAAAATAAATAAACGCTCGCAAAGTTTGTGGACAATTGACCCTTACTTACCTCTGTTGTGAGAGAATTTATTGAAAAAGTTATGACACAAAAGATGTGAAAAAGAAACGTCAGCTTGTATGTTTTCTACTTTTAAAGAATGTCTTATAAATTTGTGAAATACGACGGTATTCTTTAAATTCTTGATACACTCAAATTGAATTAATTGGATACATCCCAAAATTATTTTTTTTTTTTTACAAAATAGTTATGAAACAGTTCATTCTCATTTAATTCATTGAATAATGTCATAGATTAAATGTCAAAGGGTTTGTCAGATCAATTACAAAAGGTGTTTCATTAGTGACGGATTAATATTAATTTGAAAATGTGATCAAATGTTCGTTTGAAACAATGAAATTTGACGTCACTTGATAAAGTTTCTATTACTTGCTCACTTTTCAATATTACATCATCAACGGTATTGCTACATGTTTAGTATGCAATTGTATTTATGAGTATTCTCATTTCCATTTCAAAATCATTTACTGCTTTGTATTTGAGTCCTGAATTATAGAGAATCTGAATGGTAGTTGGTTCGTTGTCTTTCTTTTGAGAATTCTAGCTATTGTAATGAATTTCATTCTCAGAATCGATATATTGTTATTGAAATATCGTGGTAAAAGCTTTTTACAAAATTTATCTTGCCTGAAAAAAAAACACTTTAATTTTTCTCTTACCACATTTTATGAATTTCCTTCATGTGTATTGTATGTTGTAATACATTGTCTGACTATGGTCAATAACCCAACAACTCGAGTAGCAATTTAAATCTGCTCTTATTCTGGAGTCCTGAACATGGTCTACTTATTTTTTAAGACGTCTTGCCTGGTATGGTACTTATATCGAAGAAAAGGTCATCAGGCATTCGTTGGTATTTGAAACAAAAATGGCAGAAATAATTGTAGTAAGTAATTAATATTGACAACTCATTTTTTTTTAAATAATAAATGGATAAAGGTCCAAATTAGGGGACACCACCACTTTTCCAATTTTTTAACATATATAAGAGATTCTACAACTAGTCCAAGATGATTTGCAGCGAAAAATATTTTTTGTTGACACCGGAAATCGAATCTGGGACCTTCCAGTTACGTGCTGGCTACTAGACCAGTTAAGCTATTTGATCAGTCCATAGATTTCACTTTAAATAGTTCCTACATATGACCTGAATCAAATAATTCACTATTTTAATGTAGCCCCGCACAATTTATTTTTGACTATGTCTCCTAATCGAAACTCTGATAGAATTAATTCCTTTCAATTAATTACATTGTTTGTTAGGTTGGAAAAATGTTACAAAAAATCAATCCAACTTTAAGAGACTCATTTTATGAATCCTATAAAATTCCTTCAGTACTAATAAATTGCCTTGGTGTAAGTCTAGTAAATAAAACCATTGAAAACCTTAATCTACAAAGTGGATAAATAACAATCGTTGAAGTTACTAAAACATTTGCGTCATTTATACTTGTTTAGAGCCATATCATAAAAGAGTTATATTGTATGCCTGTGTCGAGCTTTCTTCTTTAGTTGTCAAAAGAGAAAATAGCCAAGGATGGTCGTGTTATAAAATAGCAAAATATAAGATGAAATGCGAGACTGGTGTAGGAAACATCATGGAAGTGTATGTACGAACATATAACACTACGAATAGAGTTGAATGGAACTTGACTGAGATGGGAAAAATAAAGGAAGCTCGAATTGTTTTAGATTCTTCAAAACAAAGTTGCAGAACCGTTAATGAAAAATAAAAACATATACGCTTGTTAAACAGGAACTTTTGATCTAGCTTCTCTCTATTCATTTGCTCTTCTTAATTACAAAGGAGTTTTGCCAAGAAGTTGTTTCATTGATGATAGTTGGATAATAATGCAATTATTGTTATTATTCTGATGGTGAAAAAAAGTTATTTAATTTTCAAAGAAAGCTGAATTTTTTCTTTGTTAGTAAACTTTAAATTATTATTAGCTGTGATTATTTTTCAGTATTCTTTATTATAGATGCAGACAAATGTCGGACTAAACTTGGGTAGTACTACTTACATAATCAATAATTTTTGTCTTTGTTCATTTTATGGTAGCAATTACTTCAATTTTGAAATTCTTCGAGTATTCTGAGTCTTTATAAAATAGAGATAGAGTTAAAAATCCAATAGGGATCGTAACAAGAATTTAGAAGAATCAATTACTAAGAATACTTAATCTTACAGTACAATTTCATGTATCTCAATATACTCGTATTCTTCCATTCTCAATCAGTCTTTGGAATTTCATGTAACACAAGAGATTACAAAGATAGTTGAACCGTACCAGGTAACGGGCAATTAAATCTTCTACCGTTTTAGTGTTAGACCAAGTGCTCGGATTGTCTTCGAAGTTTCGGACTGTAATTAGATGAATCGACTTAGCACATCTGTACATTTACCTCTTGGCTAAATTTATTTCCAGAACTTGAGCTTAAGTACTCAGTGTTAGGTACTTAATAATAAACAAGTCTCGGGTAAAAGAGGGCTTTTGTTTAAGAAATTCAATTTCTCAAGTCACTTCAAAGATAAATCATTCATGTATTAAGCTCGAAGCTACCCTATAGCTACTTTATTACTATTGGTCTTATTTTCTTGTCTATATTATGCAACATAAATGCTGTTCACTTTCTTTCGAGGTTATTCATGCAATTTCTCTTTATACCTTTTGTAACTAAGACACCAATTATGTCACGTAATGTAGGCCAACTAAGTGAGTCATGTTCAAGACTTCAGATTAGAGATGAATTTAAATTCCAATCCAGGCAGTACATTCATTGCTTTTTATTTTTTAACCTCAATAATTGATTGATGAGTCAACAAGTAGACACTTCTTTTATTTCTGTCCAATACAAAGAAATCACTAGGACCAAATTTCCACTCGAACATAAAAGAAAAAGTTTACCTTGAGAATAATTCATCGTATTCACCTGCAACTTGTTGCAAGTTGGACCTCTGACTTTTATTTCTATTTTTGATGTGATTGAAAGAATCAGATAAAAATATATTTGGATTTTTATCGCTTGTCTACACCTTTGACTGAGTTTTTTTGAAGTTGTTTCATTGAATATATATATATTCATGATAAAGTGCAAACATAATTTCTGATGCATAAAAAATGATTATAAACATATTCGCTAAGTAAAGAGGAATGTTTATGTGAATACAGTCAGATTTTGATGATGCCTTAAAGGCCTAGATAATGAGGTTCTCCGTTAGCTTGATGAATATGCAAAAGATCTATGTACAGATATATAGTTGAATAGTGACGGTGAAACTCGGGTGTTTGAAATAAACTCAGCAGCACACGCATCCCAGATCTTCAATTAAGAGTTCAGTCAAAGCATGAGTTGGGGAAAATGTAAATATACTAACGTTTTCTATATAAGAAATGTTATGATTAAATGAATAAAAACTTCTCTAATTATTTCTGTTCAGTTTCATACAATTGTGAAGAAAAAAGATTCTTTGTTTATAGGTAGAAGAGAAATTGTAGATATGACCCTAATTCAATTATTTCCTTGGAGATAAAAATGTGAATAATTAGAAGGGTATCTTTTTTGGGCTTCACTCATACAATTAGTATACTTGGTAAAGAAGTCTTTCATTTTGAATGCCTTTTTTTAAATTAATTAATGTTTTTGGCTCTCAGATTTTTTTAAAAAAGAAGTTTTACCTCTGAACAATGAAGGATCCATTTTTAATGATTCATATTGAATGGCATTAAGGTGAATTTATAAATAATTAATTTAATTCAGTTAATTCAAACTAATCTGGGGAAACTTGATAGAAAATAAAGGCTGATGGATAACGTTTTTTGTATGCTGAAACGTAGATGAGGATAATGTTTTTACCATCTTGAAAATAATGATAGTTTGGAAGTTTTTTTACTGGAGAAATTAAAACTTAGTCAGAATTTTAGATAAGAAAATAGAGTTGAAAATTAAAATTTTCAATATTTTAAGTATTTATTAATAAACTAATTTAATGAGATTTGAAATAAATTCTTCAATTATTTGATAAGAAAATTTCAATGATCATGTAATATTTTTCCTCTAGAAATTTTAATCTTAAATATCATTATAAACTTACAAACCCAGTAAAGTAATTCCTCTGTGCAAATTATAATTAAGATTACATTTAATATTTACTCAACTGTATTTAGATAATCTTCAACTAACTTTTAACTTTATAAAAATACTTTTTCAGATGATGAATCATCCCTAGTTCATGGAGTCATTACAGAAGATGGCTTGTTTGATGGAACTATAATTACAACTACAGATGAAATTTATTTCGAACCCACAAAACGATATAAACGTTTAGTCCAAACAGAAGTGGATAAAATGAACCACCACACAATTGCATATCGTTCAAGTGACGTTGCTACTCCAACATTTACTCTATCGCAACCTTTCCACAACCAAAATCTAGTTGAAAACGAGTCCTTCAATGGCAGTGATGCGTAAGTCAATCTATTTCCAATCGATCATTGTCATTGTATTATATCAATTTCAGCTTTATTTTAAGCTTTGGTTTATGAACTGTGATGTAGTTCAAATATTGTCATTTTATTTTTAATATCAACATTAAAGTTTCATGATCGAACCTCAAATTGATACCAATGTCAACGAGAATCTGTAATACAAAAATTTTATTTGCTTTTGTATTATATTTTTTTAATATTAACAAGTAAATTGAATTTTTTAATGAAATATAAAATATTTTACATCCTTTCTTCTATGTTCCAATATGAAGATTTTTTTTAATTTAGTTTTTTAGAAAACCTTGTTTTCGATTAAATGTATTCAATAGAAATCAATCAAATGTTTCTCTAAATTGCAAACAGGTTTTTCGATTTATCATATGAAGAATTTATTTAAATTCGAGAATATATTTATTGCAGTGAATAAAACTGATTAATCTTGCATGGTTTATTGTCAATTGATACTAGAAAAGCAACAAATAAAATCACATGCTATCGTTAATGTAATGCAAAAATAGCAAGTGCGTATGAACTTGTAACGCACTACAACTTGGAACATTTGCATTGTACGTACGTTCAGTCGACAATGGAAACTCCTCGCCAATTAATTACACATCGTGTAGCTCGGTAATTAAAAGGGGTTTTACAATCGATTGTAGCATTACCATGTGCATGTTATTTCTATTTCTATGTTCTTTGTTCTTTAACAAACTAATTAATTATTTTATGCCAGCAATTCAAATAATTACTAATTACAGATATATTTTGAATATTTTCTTCCACTTAATTTTAATGAAAAAAACTAACTGATCTTATTTCTGGCTTTTACAGGTTCAATGATCCGATTCTGTTTGATGGAGATGATGACTTTTATCATCATGATTTCATTGACAAAAATTTAGGATCAGACTATCCGGAGGAGTTGAAGAAAAATAAGTACCTGGAGCTTGATAAGTATGTTCTTTTTTGATAAATAAATACAATTAAAGATCTAAATGTTTAAATATTTCTTAAAAAATGAATAGAAACTTTAAATCAGGATCAATCGAAATCATTCAGAAATTTATTTTTATTAATAAGTAGAAGTAATTTGTAATTTCATATAACTTTATTTCATTAAGAAAGTTAATATCATTTGAAATAATAGAGAAAGGTAATTTTTTTGTAATATAGAAATTGAAATTGTCTTTCTAAATGATTCTTTCTCAAAAGACTTTATGAATTGGGCTGGAAATTGAATCAGCTCCTAGACCACTTCAGTACTTAACGATCGACATCTTACTGAACAAAATTGCTCTATTCATTTTCGACGTATCATTGTCGAAAGCTCTTATCATATAAAACAAAACTTCGTTTGATGATATTCTGGGAACGAACCAAGCAATTGAGTCATTTAGTGGTCAATCGATACAGTTTAGGGTAAGTTGGAGTTGATAAAATTTCCAATAAAAGCCAATTGGTCGTTTCCACTTCACACTAAACATAGATACTAGCAAGAAGGATTCTTTTCATCAATTATTTAATCCATTGACGTAATTAATTCAATAGCTAGAATTTTTTATCTCTTTAATGGGTTTTGATTTCATGATTTGATTGGTTTATGTTTCAGACAAAATAGTGACAAATATTTACGGATAGTAAAGAAGCGCACATCAATAGACCCAAACAAAACAACATGTATGCTGTATCTCCAAGCAGATCACACTTTTTTCGATCACTATAAGTCAGAAGAGGCTTGCATCGAGGTCATGACCCGTCACGTGCAGCGGGTCAATTCTATTTACCGTTATACGGGTACGTCTTTAAAATATCAATGCAAACCATCAAGCCACTCGAAACCTTTCGATCCTCGGAAAACCCCTTGGTAATTCCTACTTTTGAATGCATTCGTTGCAATCCGTGTCTTATCTTTATGGCGAAAACGATTCGGAATCCGCATTGGTAATCGTTAAGCACGTTCTGGTAATCAGCAGTTGGTATATTCCGTTTTATCAGAAATTCTAATTAACGATATTGCGTGATGACATTTAGTTCTATAATTAGATTAAATTCTATTGAGAATTTACAGGAGACGTTAGGAACATCGATATTCTCTCACATTTTCTTTTATGAGAAGAAACGTAAAACGTTGATTCTCATTCAGAATCTAAGTTGTAAAAAAATAATTAATTTAATTTTTTAAAAGAAACAATTTATTTTTTCATTTAATTTTTATAATTCTTTGCTTTAAATACACTGTTATAAGACAAACCTTTGCTTGAATAAACAACTTATTTTATCGTTTTCATGGAAAATTTTAATAATTTACTTTCTTGAGTCAAGCATTCTTCTTTTAGAATTAATTTTTTTCTGTTTCAAGAGAAAGGAAAAAGTTAATCAACCATTTTTAATGAATAATTACACATTAAATGAGCTTGAAGTGAAACAATTTTTATTTTTAGACTGCTTCTCAAAATTCTTACAAATTTTCAATGATTAAACAGATTTTCTATTGATTTAATAAACATATTGAATCCAATATGAAATGATAATCACATCAATATGAAATGTTAATACCAAATTAGAAATTGTATTTCACATATTTAGATAATCCTGTTTGAACACTTTTAATTTTTAATTCGATAAATAATTATAATTCATTCACTTACTCAGTCCAGTTTATGTTTACAGGATATTAATGATCAGATTTAATTAAACCCAATATAATTTGATATCTAAACAATAGAGTAATTTGATGAAAAGGTACAAATTTATCAACTGCTTCTAGCAATAAATTTACAAATATGAGAATTTTCTAAATAAATAATTTATGTTTTGATTAAACTTCTTTCCTAGAAAATAAAAACTTGTGAAAAATAATCTCGGCAAATGAAAAACTTTTTCATGTAGTTGTTAAAAATTATAAAGCTTTTTTTATTTTAAAAGTCGACGGCTTATGACGTAAAGAATTAATTATTAATAAATGAACTATCACAATGAGAAGTGAAATATTCACAATGTAAATAAAATAAAAAATTTCTATTCCACTAGTATTCATGTATTGTATTTTTTTTTTTAACTTTTCAGTCATCGATATAGTATTTGATATTCATAGAAATATTTCTTTCGGTTTATTTGCTAGAAATTTGATAAAAATTTTCAAAGATGTTTACTTAGAGAATAGAAATATGAAACAGCAAAGGATGTTTGTTTTTTAATATTATCTGATGATTTTTCTAGACTTCAACCAGGATGGTCAAAAGGACAATGTTAGTTTCATGATAAAACGAGTGAAAATTCACGGGCCAAAAGCACTTGAAGACCCATCATATCGGTTTACTGGCAAGTATGGAGTTGAAGAGTACCTTGAGTTATTTTCAGGTACGTTTGAGAAGAACCCTTTTCACTATTCACAAAATATTGACCGAGTCAACTAGTATGTATTGAAAATATCTACGTGAGTGTTCACTTGGTTTGATATTATCTCAACAAAAGAAGAAGAACCTTTTAGAGTTTCACTATTGTATGAAAAAAGATACAATAGGTAGACGTGATAAACGAGCAACTGCCTTGTTATCTAGATCGTTATTCCAGTCATTTTCGCGCTGTGAATTGAATTACGTCTGCTCTCTTACTCCGGAGTTAAATGAGTCGCCAGTGGGTTCGGTAATTTAATTTTAAAATTAAGTCTATCTAGTGATAACAAGAACGAATAATAAAAAATGAAAAAGAATAAAATTACCGACATTCAAGATAATGATCTAGATGAATTTTTTTTATCATACTATTCAACTCATTCATCAGTTTCCACTCGTTTTAATTTAAAACGGGCATTTTGTTCATTCTAATATGAAGAGGAAATTGACCTAACAATTTGCTACTGGTAACTTTGTAATCATCCTCTTCGCAGATAATTATGCATGAAAATTATGCATTAAATGAATTAAAAGTTTTTTATTTCATTTACAAGATATTATTTTTTATTACTGATTGCGAAAAAATTTCAATTCCATTTCCAATTAGTCTAATCGACTGTGTTTGTTGGTAATTGAAAATAATTTGCTTCAAGTGGTACTAAAAATTAATAATCAACGTTTATATTGTTATTAAATTTAAAAGAATTATTTTGACTTTAAAAATCCAACTATTTTCCTTTAAACAAATTGTATTTCGATAAACGAGAGTGCATTTAAAAGCTTGTACTTTCCAGTTTTTTCATTTCTTCAATAAATTTTTTTTTTAGTACTTCTCTTGCTCCATAAAAAAAATTCAAGTAAAAGAGAAAAGAAAATCTCTTAATTTTAGTTAGCAGAGATTTTTTTCCAAAAAAAATCACAACAAAATTAACTGGTAGCGTACAATTTGGAGTAAACTAAAATTCTTAAGACATTGATCTAATATATATTACTATTCAAAGTATTATTTTCATTCGTTCGCTTTTAGGAATAAAAATTCTATAACGTTCATTTGAAAAAATTTATGAATGTTTTCAGAGGAGAATTATGACGCATTTTGTCTGTCTTATATGTTCACTTACCGTGATTTTGAGAAAGGAACGCTTGGACTAGCTTGGACTGGTGACTTGAAGAATGCGGGGGGAGTTTGCGAGAAGAATGGGGTAAGTTTTAACGACTATCACAAGGCAATATCGCTGAGATTTTTCCCGTTTATACCCTCATGTCTTTATGATCCTTAGTTCACGTGTTCTATTAAAGCACATTTAAATAACTGTTTAAAACTTAGTAGGTAGCAGATTAAAATTATCACTTTTTTTACATCGTTAATTTCTTCAAGAACAACCATAAATTAAATAACTTATTCATTTGATATTCCTACTTATAGCACTATCGTGGAAGCATGAAATCATTAAACACAGGAATAATTACCTTGTTGAACTATGGGAAACATGTACCACCTGCTGTGTCCCACGTCACTTTAGCTCACGAAATTGGACATAATTTTGGATCTCCTGTGAGTAATTCTTAACTATGTTATTTCATAATTTCATGATTCATGACAGATAGATAAACTTGTATGATAATATATTGGTGTACTGTACAAAGTAACATTGTGGTAAACTTTACTTCAAACTCCTTATCGGAAGGTGGCTTTAATGTACCAGTTCCAACACCTGTGTCTCGCTAGCACGAATTTCAAGCGACCATTCACCCAAATCGTACAGCAAATCTTGCTATACAAAATTGTATAACGAATCTAGAAAATGGTTTTCCAATTCTCCAATAATCTCATCTATTTTTGAAATTTTTCTAAAATATTTCTACACTATCTTTTATGGTTTTTGAAATTTAAGTGATTTACTCTGTCAGTCACTTTTAAAATATTAGTTGTAATATTTTATAAAATATTTTAAAATATTCTACAATATCTATATTTAAAAAAAAAATTATTTATTAATTGTTATTTTATATAACAATAGATTAAATTATAATTCATTTATTCCAACACTATCATCATTGTACATCAAAACATTGGGTACTTCCCAAATTTCTTGTTAAGAAACAATATTAAAAAACAACTAAACTGAATAAACCATTATTACAATTCAAAGCTTAAAATTCACTGTGAATGTTTGGTACAAATATATCTGCAATCTGAATATTTTATAAATACTCATTTATTTCCATTGTGAAAAACATGAATGTAAAAATATATCTCTCTAAATCCATGTTGATCTGTATTTTTAACTTTTTCTTTTTGTTGTAATAATATAGCACGACCCAGATGAATGTTCTCCAGGAGGAGAAGATGGGAACTTTATTATGTTTGCAAGAGCGACTAGTGGAGATAAGAGAAACAACAATAGATTTAGTCCTTGCAGTCTTATCTCAATTAATCCTGTATTGAACATCAAGGCTAGGTCTACCAAGGGTTGCTTTGCAGGTAAACAGCTTTATTCACTATTTTTTTCTGTAGTGAATAATCATAAATATAAATCTGAAAGTGAGTCTCTTTATCTGAAAATTGTACGAATAAAATAGAACATAAAAAAAGGAAGCCACATAAATATGAAGGTATGGATGATGAAACTTTTATGAACAAAGGTTGAAGAAAGTACGAGATAAAAGGAAATCTAGCATACGTCAATGAGGCTTCAACAAATCAAATTAGACATCACGTCGGTACATTCAATTAGTGTCAGTAAATCCGTATCTAAAGCTTTGTCGATTGAACTTCTCCAGTGAATCGTGATAAGAGTCTAGACTCAGATAACTCAATGATTCAATTTTCTTGCAATTTTCCATCTAGGTTTCCGACTGAGCCAGATTTTATGATATTAAGAGCCAATGAAAGATACGTTATTATCTGGAATTTCAATTCGAATTTTGTAAAATTAAATAGCTTAATACTTTATTTTGCTTCACATTATTTTCTGCTAACAGAAATTTCTTATTATTTTATTAGAAAATATCAAGCGTATTAATTAGAAGACTTGATTGACATTTTAATTAAGAAAATGTCCTTTATGCTCCATAAAGCCATTGAGTATCAGATTGCTTTAATTTTTTTTATCTAAATTTTGATAACTTAACATATTTTTTATACAAAAAACTATTTTAGTTACGTGTTAAATTTAAATTATATTAAATGTGCTCATTCATCAAAAACTACTAAGAAATGAAATTTTTTAATTTATTTGAAATCGTTGAAGAAAAATCGTAGCAATCATCACTTTGACTTTATACTGTCTTGGAGATAATTTTTAACTAGTGTCTAAGTGTCATTTTTCTCCTTTAATAACTTCAGAAATTCAATTTTCACATTTATGGGCAACTAAGATTAATAGTCATGATAAACAGTTTTAGATTCCTGTTACTAATCCCAGCTTTACACCATGCTGACAAGTTCTTCATTATCCTCACTCATACAATTTCTGATAAATTTTCAGATGTTTAGTATCAGGTGGTTGCATGGGAATCAAGTGTGATTGGTTCATGTAAATGTAAATTAGAATTAGGAGATTACTAATGGGAAGGTGAAGATTCTAATACAGAGTAAATTTTATTTACATTTAAATATTCCTAAAGTTACCTATTATGTATTGTAATTTAAATTTGATAAATATTTTTTCAAGTTTATTTAGATAATATTTATATTTTATTTTTGAAAATTTAATAATTCATGGTATCAAATATTACATGACTTTATAACAATTCTTTATAAATCAAATAATTGTTATTTTTTTTATTATTAACAAGCAGTACACCAGAGGATAATTTCGGTATCGTTATTGAAGAGTCAAATAATGGGAGCAATGGTAATACCAATGATATTACAGAACTGAAAGCTATCATTGATCGTAGGCAGATTCCATGCGAAATCAGTTTCGAAATTAATGCGTACTCGTGATAACGTATCAGAATAGATATTGCAATACGTATTATGATGGTAGTCCTCTTCACTTCCCTACCACTTCCGCCCTATCTGTGACGTTTACATGATTAAATACGAAATGAGAGAACGAAAAGAATAGATGAGAATTTGACTGGACAACAAAAAGAATGAAAAAGCAAATATTTGTCTAGTATTACTGTTAATTCATTAAATTTTTTCCAGAACTTCAAGTGGCCATTTGTGGTAATGGAGTAGTAGAAGAAGGCGAAGAATGCGATTGTGGATGGGAAGAAGACTGCAACGATCCGTGTTGCCATCCTCAACGATTACATCATGCTCCATTTGAAATACCTTGTCGTTTAACTGAAGACGCAGTTTGCAGTCCTAGCCAAGTAAACTCGCTATTCTCATGGCAATTTAATTTTTAATCAGAACTGCATTCAGCTTTCAACAATTCTCCTTAATACAAACAATTGTCTAGACTCATTTATACTGTCCATTATGCATTTTAGATTTTAAGTGCTCTTACTTTCGTTGTGATTTTTTCAGTCGTTTACTTGACTTCTTATTTAGTTACGTTTATTCCAAGTGAGAAAAATTAAAAATGAAGACAGTTTTCATTTACAATTTCAGTCTATTGTAGTGAAATTTAAAAGTTTCAAGTAAAAATGACATTTATTATTCCATGATTTATCAAGTAATTTATATTTTATACTTGATATATTGCCAGTGCTTTTTTAAATAATTTTTGTTTCAAAGACAATGAGATTAAAATCTGAAATTCATTGTCCGTAGATACAATTATTTACAAATCAAAAATGCTACAAGCAAAATTAACGTAATTACAATATATAATTAGCTATAGCTACTATACAATTATCCGCCTAATTTCAGTTCGATTCAGAGAACACGGATTTATTTATATCCATAATTAGTTACTGGGAATTTTCCAAAGTTAGTTTACAAAGTGAATTAATTGCATTACACGTGTCATTTTGTACAGTATTCAGTATCAAGTAGTACAAGGATGGAATTACCAACAAAGTAGATACTAAGTAGATTAGATAAAGCTATAAATCTCACTGGTGTGAAATTCTTATTGAAGTAGAAGGTCAATATATTCGGGAATAAATTTGATTTTAATGACTGATAAATCAATTCGATTTGTATTAATGGAGGATCAAAAACAATTTCTAGGGTCCCTGTTGTACGACAGAATGTTCGTTACGTAGTGGGACAAAGTGTCGAGAAGACAATGGATGCAGGGATGCAAGTTTCTGTGATGGTCGAGGTCCCCAGTGTCCACCATCCGTTAACAAACCCAACAAGACAATATGCAATGAGGAATTCGTTTGCTACATGGGAGTAAGCATTTCAATATTATTATACAAATCACATAAATTTACATATACTGAGCAATAACAATTGCAAGTTGGAAAACAATAAACAAGTTTTACGTAAAATATGACAATTCAGTTTCTCAGTATAATCAGTGGAGTCAAATTAAACCAATTGTTCTTTGAAATTTGATTCAACATAATTCACTTAAAACATCATGGATTATTTTTTGAACTAGAAGTTGATTTTTCCATTATCTTGGAGATGATATAATCGGTTTAGATGAAATCAAAACAACTTCAAGTTATTTCGTATCTACATAATGAAAAAAAAATTTTAGATCAAATTTCGCAGAGCTATTTTCGAGATATCTTTGGTCAGAATTTTACTAGATTTACGTATTCAAGCTACACACGCTCACACAGAGATAACCTTTTGAAAACTATCTAAAATAACGACTATTGTAGAGACCCTGGAACATAAAGATTTAATCAAAACTTGATTTTCGATTTTCACCACGGTTCTCTCAATAATTCCTCTTTTTCAAATCTTTTTTATTATGAAGCAAAAAGTTGGAAGTATTTAATAGGTACTACTTGTCATATAGGTCAGTGGAATACGGTTTTTTTTATCACACATATTAAGATGGAAATTCGTAAGAGTTTTATCAGTTAATTTCATTGGAATTCAATAAATTGAATTATCCACAGAATTTTCAGAATGAATAATAAATACTTTTAATAAGTAAATTGATTTAACATCATTTATTAATATCATTCAATTAAATAATTTTAATGATGTTAATTTTGTTAGAATATTTCTTTGACCGTACTTTTTTAATATTACTCGATTTAATAGAAATATTATTTCTTGATTTTCCTACATTTCTCTTCACTTAAAAAAAATTAATGAAGCTAAGAAACAATTATTACAGACATTAATTATAAAATTCATTCGTTATCGCGTTAGGAAGGTATTCTTGAAATTCATTTTCATCGTACAGGATTTATGTTTCATAACAAGTTTCTAAATAATTGGAATATCTGAAAATTTTCTTTAAATCATAATAACAGAAATTTATTTTCAAATGAAAGTTTAAAACATAATCTCATTTGAAAGGAAAAAATAATTATTATGAAAGTAGGATAAGTATTTGAAAGCAATAGAAATAAATTCTTATTACAAATAAAAATAAAGAATGATTAAATTTTTTTTTTTAACCCATTGATGGTCGTTTTCATGTGATAAAAATTATTTCTACTATTACAAATTATTACTTAAATCATTTTTAGTACTGTGGAGTTTTTTGTCTTCATAAATACTCTCTTTTATGTTCTTGTTACATATAAAGATAATTATTCTTGGATTTTGAGAACAATTGTGCTTAAAGTTGTTATGAAAGTTTATGAAAATGTATTCTGCACTTTATGAACACGGAAATAATATCACAAAGTCCATCGTCCAGAACACAACTAGGAATTCCATACGGCAGATTACCAAGTTCCGGAGTCATGTGTGCGTTGTTGGAAATTTAACTTGCAAATGCTCGAATCCTACGATCATCTAAAACGAACACACGAGAATAGAAAAGAGATGAAGATAGAAGTGTAGACAATATCGTATGATATGTTGTAAACATAAAAAACTGCAATACAATTGGATAGAATATTCGTTCATTTAAATTTTCATCAAACAAACCGCATTTTACCATAGTAAAATAGATAAATCCATTCAGAGATAGGAATAGTAACTTCCCGTATGAAAAAATTTTCAAAAACTGTGAAACATAAATATGTGCATAACTTCTATGATAATGGTGGTATGGGGTTGATTGAGGACTTAAATGGAAGATCTGGACGAGAGGAAAAAAGCCAATATGGTGGAAATCATAATTGTCGCGAAATTCATGCAAAAATTAGAGCAAGTTCCGGTTTTACCCCATTTTAGGAGTGAAAAAATTAATTTTTTACATGTTTGACCCGATTCCGCATTTCTACGCATCAAGACGAAGAGAATGAGTGGTCGATCATCAAAATCGGACAACTTTGATTTTTCGACCCAAAAAAATGGCAAGTGGTACCCCTTTCCATTTTTTTAGGCCAAAAAATAAAAGTACTCCGATTTTCAAGTTTGACCACTCATTCTCTTCGTCTTGATGCCTAGAAATGCGGAATCCGGGCACCGCTCGGAAAAACTCACTTTAACACCCTCAAAATGGGGTAAAACTGGATACACATTAAAACTCATCATCCCCTTCACTTTAAACCCTTATAACTTATGAACGGACGGTCCAATAATCATTTTTAGGGACGTTTTAGAAAGATTAAAATCTGAGCTATTCAACGATATCCATAAATTTATAGAAAAAAATTTCTTTCGCCCTTAAAATCACTAAAATATTAAAAAAAATCACATTTTGTTGTAAGTTTGCCAACTATTTTGGCGATTTTGAGGGTGAAAAAAATTTTTTAAACCTTTTTCATAGATATGTATCTTTAGCTTAGATTTTGAAGTTTTTAAATACATCCTTAAAATCATCATTCGATAACTCGTATAAGAGTTAGAGAGGTCCAAAGTCGAAAGTAAATCATTTTTTGACTCTTACTTCGACTTTGGACCTCTCTAACTCTTATACGAGTTATCGAATGATGATTTTAAGGATGTATTTAAAAACTTCAAAATCTAAGCTAAAGATACATATCTATGAAAAAGGTTTAAAAAATTTTTTTCACCCTCAAAATCGCCAAAATAGTTGGCAAACTTACAACAAAATGTGATTTTTTTTAATATTTTAGTGATTTTAAGGGCGAAAGAAATTTTTTTCTATAAATTTATGGATATCGTTGAATAGCTCAGATTTTAATCTTTCTAAAACGTCCCTAAAAATGATTATTGGACCGTCCGTTCATAAGTTATAAGGGTTTAAAGTGAAGGGGATGATGAGTTTTAATGTGTATCCAGTTTTACCCCATTTTGAGGGTGTTAAAGTGAGTTTTTCCGAGCGGTGCCCGGATTCCGCATTTCTAGGCATCAAGACGAAGAGAATGAGTGGTCAAACTTGAAAATCGGAGTACTTTTATTTTTTGGCCTAAAAAAATGGAAAGGGGTACCACTTGCCATTTTTTTGGGTCGAAAAATCAAAGTTGTCCGATTTTGATGATCGACCACTCATTCTCTTTGTCTTGATGCGTAGAAATGCGGAATCGGGTCAAACATGTAAAAAATTAATTTTTTCACTCCTAAAATGGGGTAAAACCGGAACTTGCTCTAATTTTTGCATGAATTTCGCGACAATTATGATTTCCACCATATTGGCTTTTTTCCTCTCGTCCAGATCTTCCATTTAAGTCCTCAATCAACCCCATACCACCATTATCATAGAAGTTATGCACATATTTATGTTTCACAGTTTTTGAAAAATTATCAAAAAAAAAATTTGTTCCCCAAACGTACCCCATAGTCTTACGAGGGGAATTTCTCCACTGGGGAACATTCGGGAAACCTTTGGGGAACGAAATTTTTTTACACGGGTTGGTGTAAAATAAATAAGTGTAAAAGCTTCAAAAATAAATCTCGATTTCTCTTTCAGGAATGCACTGGCAGCATTTGTCTAGCTTACGGTCTCGAGTCATGTCAGTGTACCGCAGGACCAAATGACCCGCCAACCAAAAGTTGTGAATTATGCTGTAAATTGCCTGGAGAAAACCAACCGTGTCTGTAAGTCCCCTGAATTAAAACCATTTTTAAATCTGTTAGCATATTAGCTGAAAGAATTAAAAGTAATACAAAGTTTATTACTTCTTTTTTTATTCAGCTCTTAAGATTTAATGAATAAATTCGAAAAGAAAATTTTATTATTAGTAAAGTTTTATAAGAAAATTTTCAGACCTTTTTTTTTCTACTTTCTCAAGAAAAAATTTTTTATTTTAGCTAACAATTATTTTTCAATCATAAATAAAAAACATCTTTCAGAATAAACTTTTATACTGACAAGTAACGTCAACATGTCGCTATTCACAGCACAAAGAGTGTTCAGAGCTGACCAATTATCCATCATGTTTTCCTTTATAAATTTTCTTTGACCTAAAAATTGAAGCTTCAAGTTTATTTATTAAAATCATTAAAAAAATCAAGAAATTATTCTAATAATTACAAAAGATAATTCAGATGAATAATTTCTTATTAAGATAATACAGATTCTTATTTTTCTATTAACATCTATCAAAACTTTTGAAATGTTTTAAAATGTTTCAAGCTCATCGTTCGATTGGAATTCACCTCCATATGAAATTCCAAACATGATGTCAAAGCCAGGAACTCCTTGTAATGATTATAATGGATACTGTGACATTTTCCAACGATGTCGAGAGGTATGGCCATTGTTAACATCGCTCTTATCATTCCCCAATATATTACTGATATTAATTGTTATCACCTGTAGGTGGATCCAACTGGTCCATTAGCAACCCTACGAAGACTCTTGCTATCCGACGTCAGTCTAGCTCGTTTCCAGCAGTGGATGACCGACAGGTGGTATGCAGTAGCAATTGGGATGCTAATTGTTACCATTGCTTTGGTATGTTATCACATTCTGGTTCTACAAAAAAATTAACTCAAGTTGTATCCTTATAAACTGAAGTCTTCTTATTTCTTTCTTCAGGTTGCTATTACAAGATTACTGAGTAAAGAAGCTGATTCCCATTTACGAATTCTTTACGTAACTGAAGATTCTAGGAAGGAAAACTTTCAAAATCGAGAAGATCAATCATTTCATGCAGTAAATGCCTTGGAAAATATTTCAAGGATTAAAAGAAGAATTGTAGAGGCTATGAAGACGATAGCTTCTCCAAGGAAGACAAATGACTTGACTTTGCCAGAAAATTCGAGAGTTTATGATAAAATTAAGCATTTGACGTTACCAGAAGATAAAGAAAACGGTGAAATGATGCAGAAAAAATACTTTTATCCAACCAATTACAATTATCATAATACCTACAATAATGATGTTCAAGTGAATGTGAAAAAAAGCAAAAAAAAGTTAACAGCTCAAAACAATTTATTTTCGGTGAAATTTATTGGTAAATTTTTTAATTCAAAAAAGTTTGAAGTTAAAAAAACTATTTTAAGTGCTTCCACAAGACATACAGACATCAATCAGGTGAAAAATACTAGTGAAATAAACAATTTGTCTCCAAGAACTCAAATAGAACATATAGATGGAAAAAATCGCGTGTCTGACTTGGAAATACTCTTACGAAGGAGTTAGTGAATTATATAATTTGTGATAACAATGTAAATAATGTAAATTTTTTCATTAAAATTATTTATCGAAAATAGATAGTAAATATTAAAATATAAAAAACATTTTTTAAAATATGAAAAAAGATACTGAAAAATCTTTATCAAAGCATTTTTAATAATAACTTTAAACATTTTAAAACAATATTTTAGCGGCAGTATCATACATATTTATAATACCTTAATGCATGTATAATTTACATTGTATATAATAGTTGTTGAAACCATTTTGAATACTCTAGAATTCGTATATAATAATAATTGAACGATAGAATATAGTCATATATATTTGTAAACATTTTTGTTTTGATAGTATAAATATCTATCGTTGATTTTTGGCTTATCATTAGAGAATCACGTTTAAGAAATTTTGAAAATAGAACAATCCTTTAGTAATACAGCCAAATTTATAGATTGTCATTATTTGAATTTTATGAAAGCACAATTATTTATTATGACTGCATCTAATAATATCATATTAACAAAATACAGTAGAATATTTCAAATGTCCGATTTTTAATCCTTACTTGAAAGTGTTTAAGTACATTATTACCTCAAATTTATACTGTATTTTAATATAAATTTATTACACTCTCAAATTGTCGGACCTTTGAGCGATTCTACTGTATATTAAAAAATCTTCATACTTACATGATAAATAAATTGATTTAAATTTTAATAAATAATTGAATTTTTAATAAAAATGATAACGTAAATCTTTCAAAACTTTGAATGACTTTTACAATGGATTAATAAATAATGTTATGGTTTTATTAGATGCAATCAGTTATGAGTAAATTTGAGTTAGAGTTATTGACTTGAAGATATTCTCCGTTAATTAATCAACCTTATAAGTCATCACAACCACAAAAACATGTTTTGATAATATCCAACAAGATAGTTAAACCCTGTATTCCCAAGCAATTGTCAGCTGGTAATTAAAAGTTAATCGGATTAGTATATCTGCGTCAGAGTAAGATAAATACCTTACTCTACGCTATATAGCAATGTCAGCAAGAACAGGCAGCTTTTGATGGCACAGGATCTTGTTCGTGACATCGTAATACTCGTTGATGAGGTAATGGCGATGAATCCATTGTTGCTTCCATTCTACGCATTACTCGATCTAGCAATACATCTATCGCTCGTGATACATTTTGGCCAGTTGCTGCACTAGTCTCCATGTAGATCATTCTATAAATTTCAATTTCAGCTCTCATATTCTTGTTTATAATGAAGGATTCTTTTTTACAAATTATCTTATAAAATTTCTTTTCTAAGCACATTTAAAATAATCTTACCCATGTTTGTTAGCTAATTCTCGAGCTTTTTTTTCACTAACTACTCGCTTGTATGTAAGATCAGCTTTATTTCCACACAAAATTATGTCTGGGTCTTCGCAGTAAGCATGTGTCTACATGAAAATAAAAAGTTAACTGTAGAATAATTGGAATAACTTATTTATAGTAATTATTTTTTGAACTTTTGCAAAGAACTATTTTTTGTGTTAATTTTATTCTAAATAAAGAATTGATGTGTTTTAATTGAGGCAAAAGTAATTCTTTGCAATTTACAAAATTTTTATCAGTAAAGTAAGTAAATAATTATTAAAAAATAATTATCATTTTGTTTATTATACCTTGAGCTGTTCCAACCAATTTCGTACCTCAAGGAAAGACTGTTCATTTGTTAGATCGAACAATAAAAGAAAACCCATAGAATCCCGGTAAAATGCAGTTGTTAAACTTCGGAATCTATGTTAATGGTTAGTTTTAGTGTTAAAATTCGACATCTTTTTATAATATTTATCAACAAAATGAGAGAAAAATTATTTTTTTCGTCAGAAAAAAATCTATTATAGAAATAAAAACTTTTATTATTATATTTCACTCAATAATTTTATAATAAAACTACTGAAAAATTTTTTGCCCAAAGAACAAAGGAGCTATATGTTGAAAAAATAGTTTATTAAAATTTGTTCCTTTATTTGAAAAAAAAAAAAATAGTTTTTTTCTCAATCGAATTGTAAAATAATTTTATTTAGTTAAAACCTTTCTTGACCGGCTGTATCCCAAAGTTGCAAGTGAACTCTTTGAGATCTTCCACCTTGCGTCTTGTATATCTGACAAAAAAAAACCCCCGTTATTTTTCAAATATTGATTAGAATATTATTAAATAAATTCCAATAAATTACTTACGATTCTTTTCTCTCGGAAATCAATGCCTACGGTTGACACAAACCGAGCATCAAATATTCCATCAGTGTAATGATACAGAAAACTTGTTTTTCCTACTCCGGAATCGCCAAGAGCCAAAAATTTGATAAGATAATCGTAGTCCATTCTATAGATTGATGCAAATATTCAAGTAGATTTACTTTGTTGGATATAAATCATAAAAATGTTATTCAAACAATGTATAGAAACAAAATATTATAACAATACGTAGAATAAACACACATGAGGCAACAATTTTAGCAGACACCTGTTGCCTTCACAGTAGATTTCGAATGCAATTTAACGCGCGGGGAATCCACCCACTAAAACCAAATAATCAGAAATTTCACTAACTTTTTATATATTTATTAACTTTCAATTTTTGATTTAATTAAATATTGAAAATATTCCCAAAAAATTTTATCTAATTTCCTAAATTTTGTACTTTGAATTAATTACTAAACTAATTAAGAATTCGATGGCGACCAGCTGGCAGTATAGTGATCGTTTGCAATATGGCGAGGGAAGAAAAATATCCTTGCGATTGACCTACATGCGTGCAATGTTTTCGCGCACTATATAACGAAGTCGGTATACTCTACTTAGAATAAATTCATGTGTTTTTGATAAACCAGCGCAATCTGGCGTCATTGCAATCTATTTTTTGGTTGTTTTGTATTTCTTTTTAATGAAAATTACCAATAACACAATAATTAATTTACCTATGACACTATAATTCTATCAAACCTTATATTTATCAACAATTAAATGTAATTTTTAATTTTATATTTATTAAGGTGTTACATTCTTGAATGGAAATAAATTTGAAAATCTATCTCAACTCTTCACTTCCTTTTTTCATTCATCAAATATCTCCAATTACACATTAATTCCATCTAGAATTTGGTCAATACTTTTTCATCATTAATAACTGATTGTTATGTTAAATTTAGGTTAAATCTCAGTATTTAATTATGATTTAATCTTCTTCTTATTTAATTTCAATGATGAATCGAACATTCGAGCTATGATATGCTGAATATATTAAATTTCTAAGATCAGAATTCATCCTAAGTTGATTACAATCAACCCTAGATTACTACAAAATCGAGCATTGATGAAACAAAAATTGAATTTGCCGCAGAAATGATGGAATTTAAAAATTTTGAACAGATTGCTTCATTACCGACTGTTGATAACTGATGACGGAATATGGCGTCACTTGTGACGCTTGTGACATTAATGACATTGAATGTTGTGTGTGTGTTCAATCTAGTGTTTAGTTGCCGGCCAACGTTTTAACGATTTTTACGTGAAATTAAACAAAAAAGTCAATATTTAGGGTTTTCAAAACTTCATAAAATATCACACAAAAATATTAATTAAAATTTTTTAATGAAGTGCAGTCATAAGTATAAAAAACAAGCAGATGTTTATACTTTAGATCTATAACCTTTCATCATAAGTCTCATTGTCTTTAGATATGATATATTTGAGAAAGTTATTGACTTCAAAGATTAAAAATGTTTACTAATATCTGGACATTGATTTGTTGGTACTTTAGACCTTTTGTAAAATGGTTTTTACGTCACACAACCCAAATGTGTGAACTTCAAAGGATTTGTTATGGTGAACCCTCGGGTGCGTCACGAGCGTTGGGGGTGGAGCAATCATTAAGACAATCCCGTAATGCAAAGATTAAAGTCTTAGTTGCACATCTCGATGGTATTGCTGAGCAACAAGGGATAACTATTAAAACTGAACGTAAAATTTTAGAAGAATCCATAAGGTCAGTTTTACTCATAAAGAAAATAAATCCTACAGCACATCCAGATTTTGCCAAGTCATTTGGCAAATGTGTAGAATTAATTTGGGGATACCGTCAACTGGTCGCAGATTGTGAAGAATTGAGGCAAACGGCATATGATTCAGATGATCCGGAGCATGAAATATTATTGCTAAAATTGTGGAATTTATTAAAACCCACAGAAGCTCTTGAGGCAAGAGTAACCAAACAATGGCAGGACATTGGTTTCCAAGGTGACGATCCAAAAACAGACTTTAGAGGAATGGGAATTTTAGGACTTAAAAATTTAGTATACTTTGCTGAAGAGTATCCAGTTGCTGCTGCACACGTCTTATTGCATTCAACACATCCACGACATGGATATGCTTTTGCTATTGTTGGAATTAATATTACGAGCATGGCGTTAAGGCTTTTACGTGATGGTACGGCTAAAACTCATATCTACAATTCATCAAAAACACTGCCAAGTATTCGTGCCTTTCATCAATTTTATAGTTATTTATTTTATGAGTTTGACGGGCTTTGGATGCAGTCTAAGCCTAGCAATATGATGGAGTTCTCATCAATTCAAGAAAAGTTTGAGAATAGTATCCGCATTGCTTTAGCTAATCCAACAACGATATTTAGAATAAATGTATCTGTTGATAATATTTAGTACAAATTTTTTCAGTTTAGATTACAAAGAGACTTAAATGAATTTTATGTATGACAGCTTGACAATTTTTTTTTATGTTACAACATCTGTATCATTCCATATAATTTAGTTGAATGTGTTTTATGAAATAATTTTGCTGTGTGAGAAAAACAATGCATAAATTATTTATTGAAGTAAAAAATATTTATTACAAAATTAGAGATGAGTAAGGATAAAACATTTGAAAAATAGATTGTTAAAATTATTTTTCTTTTTTCTCTGGAAGTTCTGGTTTACGTCTTAATTTAGATGCTACTGAAACTATTACAAACACTCCAATAGTTATGCTTCCTAATTTCATAAGCCATGGATTTTCTCTCAGGAAATTAGCAATCATTAAAGTTAAATCGTCACTGCAATTATTGTATAAATCATGTAGAATTAAATGATCATTTGATTTTTAATTAAGTATTGATTATCGATACTTACAATGGACTTTGTGGTACAGGAACTTTCTCTCCTTGAGCATTTCTATACCATTCTTTAGCAAAAGATACAAATGAGTTGATATCATATTTAGGAATTTGATATCTGTACATCTTGCCTTGACGAAATCTGGTAGACAAAATTATAAATATTAAATTATAAAATTTTTTTCAAAAATTACTATTATTTAATTTGTAAATAATAAGAGCGATAAAAACTAACAATATGAATTCTGGGACCTCAAAGATGTTAAATCTTCTTGCGGTAGAAGCTCCAGTTGTATGTTTATTTACTCGAGCTACATTAATTCTTTGCTTTAATTTGGATGCAACAGCTTCCCACCTTGCTCCCATTCTTTGGCATTCCACGCAATTACTGCTATAACTGAAATTGTAATATTTATAATAAGAATAATAGAAATATTAATTTGATAAAATATATTTATCAAGATGCTCGAATTTAAAATAATTAAAACACCACTATTGTAGTATATATGTTTCACATAATGTTGTTTCAGATTAATTTTTAGTGAAGTGCAACTAATTTTATTTTATCAAATGAATTTTCCATTAATCATAATTATTTATATTCATTGTAATATTCCATTCTTGTAAATTAAATTGTAGTATTGTATACTTATATCAATATTTATATTGATAGATTTTTATTGAAAATTGTGGCAATTTTAAAATAATTTGTGAATAAATTTTCGTTATTCATCTAATGTACTTGTAATTGAGTTATTAAATAAAAAGTTTAAAACAATAATTGACAATTATCAACGTTATGTATACTTCCAAAATTCAATATAAACTTTTATTATGAACCAACTAACTTTGAGTTCGTTAAAACTGATAAAATATTAGATTTCTGTAATTATTAAATACTGTTAACTTAAATTGTTGAAGAAATTAATACTTACAACATTACAAACCAGTCTCCAGTAGTAGCACCTGATGAAGCTTGAGTTAAGTGCTCGAAATTATCATCAATTAATTCTTTCACCAAAGGTTCTCTATTATTAATAAATGTATGAGATATTTCTTCATCATCTAAAGGTCCTGAAAACGATGAAAGTTTTTAATTAGATATTGATGATTTTCCGTGTATAATATACATACATTACCCTTTAATAAATTTATAAATCAATTACATTAAATACAAAGTTTCAAATATGGGTATAAATAATACACTAGATCGTTAATTATCGTATAGTTAACGTTCATTTCAGCAGAAGAAATTAAATTTTCATTTCATTTACTTTAAATGATATTCACAAAATATTTTCTGATGAATAATTATTTCAACAAATATAAATTTACGTGAAAGAAATGAATTCAAAGTTTAATAAACAGTGATTAAACTCTTAAATTTTACCATATCAACAGTAAATCCTACATTTTGTATAATTATGATAATACATGCAGTTTTAACTTTGCAAAAGAATATCAATTCAGTTTGCAAATCTAATCATTTAAATTCTTACCATCATATAAAAGAGGTATTCCATTTCTGAAGAATACTAAAGCTGGTTCACTAGCTGGACTATATATTTTACGTAGATAGCTATTGGATGCTTTAACTATCCATGCTGATAGAGCATCAACTAAATGTTCTCTCAAATTAATGAGCTCATCTTCATACTTTTTGCATTCTGGACAATCGTCTTTTGCTAAAAGAGACAAATAATATAACTTCAGTTATCAATAATTCAGTTAATGAATTAAAATATTATATAAATTGTTACTATTATTAATTAAAGAATAAATATATTACTAAATAATTAAATAGAAAATAAAATTTATAATACAACTATTTGCATTCAAACAGCTGTTAATGATAAATTTGGATGTAAACTCACTGAAAAGAACAACGACATATTTTTCTGTGTTGATATATTGGAGTAGTTCTTCATCATTGACTAAACTTAAATCAGCAGATGATGATGAATGACAATCTTGGAGTAGAATGAAGACAAATGCAACCACAGTTACAAGTAACATATCTGAATATTGATTATATTTTTCTCGTCTTCGCCGGTGTTCACGAATTCTCGCCATTGTTGTTATGTTGATGGCGTGGCACTGACACTTTTTAGCTTAAATTCTACTGCGCATGTTCTGTTCATCTGTACATTATTCAAACCCACGTTTAATCTCATCACAGTAAAAAATCATCAATTTATCATTTTTTCTGCCAATTTTTTGACAGCCAACTTCAACGTAACTTCTTGTTTGTTAAAATAAATAATTCTGTGCTAATTTATGATAAGTCACGTCAAAGTTTGAGCTTATAAATAGCTAAAATCTCTCCAGTTAAATGTGAAAAGATTAGGCAGCATGACCTACAATTCAAATAATTAAAAATAGCATGTTATCTTGACTAAGTTCGATTCGCGTGATGTCTAGTAGACTTTCGAAGGTTATGATATAGAGGACAGCTGATGTACAATAGATAAAATGAAATATAGCAAGAAGATGAGGGTGTACAATACACCAACTGAGTTGGCATTGTATGTATACACCAATATGTAGAAGAAGCAATATCGGGGATGACGAGGATACCCTGAACAACCCCCAGCTGAGTTAGAACAGAGTTTTCAAGGGGAATAGTCGCGTGTTTTCGTCCTCTCAGGTGAAGTAGAATAGTTCAGGAATTCAGCTGAAAGAATTCTCTTTTATCAAATATTTATTATTCATTCTGGTTAATTTTCTTAACATTTGTCTAGTAACAAACAATAAATAATGTAGTTAAATAAATAGAAAGAAGACTGATAAACAAGACAAAATAGTGCTTATCTTGGACGATAAAATCCAACTCACCACCAGCTAAACTAGTATATATACGATTAGCTGTACCAAGGATAAGTGGATGATAAGTTGTTGGGTTCACCACGACGGTTATCGCGATTGAAACTATCATTGTTCTGGAATTTTATTGGCACTCTGAAGAGGTTTGAGAATGGCTTTGGAGTACAGAGAAACAACATATAACCCGGATGTAGAGGAGTATGTACGTAAAGAACAAGATCGTCGAGTGGTACAGGAAGGTACAGAAATGTGGAGACGACGAAAGGAGGAGTTGCAACGTCAAAAGCATCGTGAACAGCGAGAAGTATGTGTTGTAATAGTGCTTAGGATGTGGTATATACTGACACTACTCGACAATAATTTACGTCACTGTCCTTACAACTCATTTCACCACCTTTCTTTTTCATTTACACTTACTCTCTGGGTTAGATATATCCAATATATATCAGAAAAGGTTGTTGAGCAAAACCTGGCAGTGTTTTTTTTTTGCTTTTTCTTCTCTTCCAAACTAAATGTCCAATTTATTTCCCAATGCTCTTATTGTTGTCAATGTCGGTGAACAATTTCTCTGTCCAGAATGTCTTGAGATTAAATCCTATAAGTCTAGTGCGCAAATGCACATAATAACCATGACTCTGGTCAATTTGCATAATCTTACGAAAACTATTTTCTGAGGCAGCTTTTGCTCTTGCTGCTGCTTCTACCCTACACAAGTTCGTAAATCTGGACCAGAGACTTGGATTTGATAAGCATTAAGAGCATGCTGTGATAATACCGATAAATTGTATTAGCATAGAAATCGATATTCCACGGTATTTACAGCTACGGCAGATGCAAGCAAATTATTCACCTTGGGGAAAACCAGGAGGTGGTGCACCATTTGAAAAGTCATTGAGGAAAAAAAATGTTCTTCTTGAACCTTTGGAGCCACGACGGAGTCACAGTACTCAGGTAAAGATATTTTATCATCACGTATTATGTTTATCATGATAATAAGACAGTACAAGGTCTTGCCAATCACCCTTGTCATCAATTCCAAGGTCGCATGCTTTTCGTGGATGTTTCATGTAGACATAATGGATCAGCCGATGGGTATCTATATCCATTGATGCTTGATATTGATACTTTTATGTACTTAGAGAAAATATTGTTGCATCAATTGTCAGGCATTTTTATAATTATTCTATTTTTTTTTATTTTTATTATTTTTAACATTTATAAAAAATTTTTTTTTTTAAAAATGCTTTTAATTAAAATTAAAAAAGCAAAAATTTTTTTAGTCAAATAGATGAAATATTTAGTCACTTAAATCTATTATTAATTTAAAAAACATCAAAATAATTTTTTAAACTTTCAAACAATATATTCACTCACAAACAGAAATATTTAAATAAATAACAAAACATTCAATCAATAGAAAAAATTCAATTTACAACTGTATTAACTGAGAATTTTTTAGTAAATAAAATTAACGAACATTAAATTTTCAAAAAATTGATTAACTCGAATTAAAATGAGTTTTATTGATAAAATAATTTATTTTTTTTTTCAATTTATTCGACAAACGTTAATATGCGTGATTGCTACACGACCTAGTTGGGATGTATTTTCAGTGGTCCGTGACCACGAGAATGATCGATTTATTTATTTGAGACAACGAACCCCTCTACCTCATCCAAATAGGCTGAAAGGATTGGGTTACCATGGAACATTCCAATGTAGCATTCATGAGAATGAATTGTTCAGAATCAATATGTAAATACATAGATACACTATATAGATCCAACTGCATCCTTCCTGTACTGGAAGAAGAGGAAATCTTTCCAGGAAGGCTTTTGCTTTACTTAAGTCATCATGTCTCCACTTATCATCTTTACGACATGTGCTAACAATAATTATTATTCATTAATCATTAATTTTAAACATTTTGAACACGCAACCCACTCTTATATAACTTCCGCCTACATTGCAACAACCTTTGTTGAAATAATGTACAGCTTTCAAATTATTTCCAATTAATTTTAAATATGTAGCTTTTTCTCTATTATTTTTGAATGGTTTTTATTCTTGTATTTGGTTTGGAATGTTTTTACTGGATAACTTTTTGTCTCTTGTTCCTCACAATCAGTCAATATAACGCCTATTTAATTCTTCCTGTTTTCTTTTCTCTTACTGTTTAAGTTGCTGTTGAAGCTATGTTTATTTTTTTTAATTGGAAAAATTAAAAATATTTGATTAAACTATTTTTCTAGAGTAAGAAAATAATCAATAGCTCAACGAAACAATTATTTTCTTGAAACATGTTAGATGCTTCTTACAATTATTATTTCAACAAAAAATTAGTTTAAAAAAAAAAGAATCTGAAACTTTGAATGTTGAAAAGAAAACTTTAATGCTCAGAAATTGTGGTCTACCAACTAATTGTTTCCAATAACTTGGTAGTAATCATCCAAGCATTCATCAGTAAACTTATTATTTTTTTTATCAACAAATAAGTATTTAGATATAAATAAATAACTGGTTAAACTATACAAAGTCTCAGGTTCTTGCAAACATATTTATTAAGTGGTGATGATGGTGACATTGCTTAGGCAAATCAATCTTCACCCTGGGGTCGTCCTGGTCCTGGTGGAGTACCTTGGCGAGATCCAAAGCTACTGGGGATACGCTTCCTGGAGTCCATGGTACGCATTTAATTTGCGTAACATGATTGCTTTAAAATATATAATATATTCTTGTGTAGGAAGCTAGGTTATTTATTTAGCCTAGTTATCACTTGATGATGATGATGATGATGATGGTGATGAAAATAATTAGTCATTACGGAATAATATGAATATTTAGGCAAAACATCTTGAGTTTCTAAACTTAGCTTCACTTTTAATTTCTAATTATAACTAACTTTACGCAAATGACCGCCTGAGGGTTAGTGGTATAAAGAGAATATACATAGCGAGTTTAATGCCAAATGCATAAGCTCAGATAATTGAATGATCCTCTTAACTCTGATGTCGTTGTGTTCACAAAATTTAACCCATGTTTATTATCGTTATATAATATTTCTGTGAATTGTTTTAAATACGTATTTATCTTAACGTATTTCGTTATAATTGATATTGATTTTTTTATCCAATTATAACTTTCTCTGTTTTATTTGCCGGAAATCATTTTTTAGGGTTGGACGACTGGCTCCTTTATTTCAAGATTGCGCCGCAAGGAAATGAATCCACTTGCTGTGATTGATTCAAACAGATTTTTCGATGATAAGCCGGAACCTGGTAATACTGATACTTTGATGATCTTATGTTTTTCAACAAAATACACTATTTCAGATTGAATATCCGATGTTTTTCCAGAAATAACATCAAATATGATTTCCTCAAAACGAAATCCCTCGATGCAGAAAGATGATCTTATAAATAATGGAAATTCCCAAATTTATAAACTGACTGGTGGAGTTGAACTTGTACCATTACTGACAACCAGAAAATGTTATTCTTATCCAATAAGGCATATTGTTACTGATGCTACACGCCCTGGATACACTATAGACGAGTAAGTTTACTAATTATAGAACTTGATCTTTCTTTTTTATTACTATAAATTTATTATTCTCTCAAGTTTTAAATGAAATTTACAACAAATAAAAAAAACTGGAAATAGAATTAAATAACTTGCAAACTGACAAAGGTTTTAAATTTTTAATTTCTTTTTGTAATTATGAAATAGTGAGAAGTCAAGCTACTTTAATTAATTCGAACATTGAATATTTTCTCATGAAACCATTGTGCTGTGAAGTTGAAACCGTAATTGTGAATAATGTTTTTTAAATACGATCATTTAAATAATTCTCAAGTTAACACGAAAATTTTCATTCTAAAAAAAAAGTTTAAGTAGTATTATCGAATTTTAATCCGACGTAAAGCATTAAGAATTTAATTTATCGAAATGATAATAAATTTTTTCATTTATATTTTATCAACAAATAATTATATGAATGTTTAACAATAATTGTTGGATAATTTTGTTATTATATAACAGTAATTATTGACAATAATAATGTAGGGGAAATTGGGATAAAATGGAACACGGAGAAAAAACGTAAATCAACAAATTAACCATTATATTAATAAATGTTAATAATTTTTAATGCATTAATAAATTAAAAATCTAATAAATAAAAAACGTAATAAGAGTTTTTAAACATATTTTAATAAATTAGTAAATTTCCTCGAGTGTTCTAGTTTACCCTTTCTTCTTCTAATAATTAATACAATAATAAACAACAATAATATTATTATTGTTTAACAATAATTATAAAAAATAGTAATAACAATAAATTAATAATTAATTTTTAATTATTATTCATTTTGACTAATTTAAATATTTTTTAATTTTGAGAAATCCATATTTTTTCTGTCTAAACTTATTTAATTATCACTATAATTTATTTGTCAAGATCTTGGGCTACAAAGGCTTAAAATAATGTCCACTTAGTTAAAAAATGTGAATAATTTTGTTTCATGTATCGAATTAAAATTTCCAAGTAATAGCATAGGTGTATAAATTTAAATGTGTCGTATAGAATTAATATCCTGGAGAGTAGACAATACGTTCAGGATTTTTTACTCCTAGCCGTGAACATTCGATAGCATATAACAAAGCATGCCTCTGTTGTGACAAATTGCCTCGAGTCAGTATAGCACTCGAGGGATACAACTACATTACTGGTAATCAACACATTGATCTGAATGCGTTCGACCACGGTCAGTTCAGCTGTCTCGGTTTCATTCCACAGGGAAGTAATTTCCGTGCCCCAGTTCAACTCGAATCATTCTCCTTTATCTTTATTTCAACTATCTCGAAAGGATATTCATTTTAAGAGTTACATTGCTTTAAATATACATAGAATAGAATACCTTTAAAAAGTCATAAATGAAAATAAATATAGAATTGTTTTATTCATGTAGTATCGATTTCAGTACGAATTATTATCGTACGAAATAGCAGAAGACTGGGTTACAAATTAATTAGAATCAATATTAACATTCGATCTGAAAAATAATTTTGGTTCTTGAATTGATAATCATTTCCTCAAGAGAATTCCTTCAAAATTTTATTTAAAATAAAAAATTCAAGAGGTTTCTTTAGTTTATTGATTTTTTAAAAATGCTGGAAATTTAATTCCATCTAAACTGGAATTAAAGTTTATTGACCAGCGTATGTTATGATAATGTTGACTTTGGTTACGATTTCCTCAACATTAATCGAATCAGGCGATGCGTATGTTGTTCCGAAGTCTCTAATCTTGGTTTATGAACCAAGAAGCTGAGTAATAATGATCAGTACATGGCTAACGTGTTGGAAGTCTGACGTTTAATGAGACATTTTGATAGGGTTTAATGGAATATTCCATAGGATCCTGATGCTGTTAAAGGTGTTGCATTATTTATAGTCCATTCATGTGTGACTAGTTGACAAGGCTATAGGGCTTTTGTGTATCTTATTAAGTAGGTAAAAATTAAATCAAATATTTAATCATCACTCTGGTGTGTAATGAAAATTATATAAGCTCTTTTATCTTTTTATTAAGCCATTATCTTATTTTCTTTTTTCTTTAAAGAAGCTCTTTTAATTAAAAAAAAAAACTTGAGAAAATACTAGAATCTTTAAAATTTTTATTTAAAATAATTTTATTAATTTTAGCTAATTTTATTTTATATTTTAAAAAAATATTAAAAATTAATCTTTATTAAATATAATAATTATTATTAATTTTTTTTAAATTAAAAATATTTGTCGAAAGATAATATTTATTTAATATTTATCTATTATAATAATAAATTTAGAATTTTAGAATAAATAATAAATTTAGAAATTTAGAATAAATTTAGAATCAATGTTATATTAATTAAATTAGAATTTATTGCACGCACAGAGTGTACACCGATGATTGGATAAAAATTCGCATTTTTTAACCAATGAGGAAAAAGTCACTTTTCGATATTTCGATTATTGGCTAACTTTACATATCCATGTAAATTCGTAAATAGAATTGATTGTTGGAGTGGTAGAGGATTATTGATCTAATCTTGATTAAATTCAATTAATTTATATTAAATGTTATAAATAAATACTTGACAATATTTATTACATGTCTGATTGCATGAAAATGAACTAAAAAAATTTAACATAAAATTGTACTCAATCAAATGTTGGGAAAATATTATTTTTGTTAGATAATTATAAAGATAAGCACAAAAAGCATAATAAATGGGGAGAAAAGGGGAAGAGTGTAGGTATAGTTTGACATGCTTAAATTTTCAGTTGACTGACCTAGCAATAGAATAGTACATTATAATGACAGTATGATAACACAATAAAACAAGTCAAAACTTTAAACAGTTTCAGATCTGTGAACGATAATCGTGAATATATAACGGCACTGTCTGACCAGATTCAACGAAAGCGACAGAATGCTCTGGTAAGTGATAATAACAAATGTCTAGAGGGTTTTTTATCAGAATGAAAGTTATCTGTTTTCCAGGAGGAAAAACGTTTAGAGCAGGAGAGCTGCCGTAGACATTTTGACACTTGGAAAAAATTCTGGGGTCGTCCTGGTCACGGTGCGCCTATGGATCACGTCTATCGTAACGATCTTTATAATATTCTTTACCGATCAGGCGTTTGTTAACGTTGACAGACGGGAGAGATTTAGCAGCAGTTGATGTCTAAATGGAAATCCAATAACAGCTGTTCCTAGTTCTTTGTAGTAATCTCAGAGATGTAATCAATACGCGGATGTTGATCTGAGAGTTGGGGGATAAATGTAGAGGATCCGGACAGAGTAACAATTTGCATAATGATCCGTTAGATGCTGATTGAACACGGGAGGAGAAGACGTGCTGTGCTTGTCAAGGGTATAATGGACGCAACCCATTTAATTAATGGCCGTTTCGGTCGGTCCTGATGTTTGTGGGTCAACGCAATAGTCTCGGTGTACACTTGCGGATAAACGCCGTTGCTTTTACGTTATTCCACAGCTATATACGACGTATCGTCGTGTATTTTGTCGTGGTTGGCAACGGACACAGCTTGGGTCACACTCTGTCCCTTGTGCTGGCTCCGAACCGCGAAAATTTCTCGCACGACCCGACGCCGAGAGTGAGCACAACCGGATGGACGGAAGGTATATGGAAGGAGAGAGACACAATCACTGTGCAGCCAACCGACCCAGGTTCTATTGTCCGACCATTGTATCCCGTTACTACTGTTGTGGGGATGGTTTGTATAAGGGTGATTCATTTTCTCGCGAAATATCAGTTCCTGTACCACAACTGGATTCCAACCCCCCGTAAAACTGCGTTCCTGTATTGTAATATAACAAGGGAGCATTCACGCAAAAGAGACAGCAAACTGTAACACCGAATTGCTTTGTTGCTTTTTGACTTTTTTGTGTTCTCCATCGTGCTGCATACTGGAACCTTCGCTATTTCTCTCATCCTCTACGACATTGCTACTGACATGGTCTCTCGTTGGTCATCTCTGTATATGTGTGTTTATCTGATAATGCACCAACCTATTTTTAGCATTCAAAAAATTGCTACGTATTATTCAAGTACTCACAACTCCTCACCGGTCTAGTTTTTGTTTTATACCAACTCCCAGTGAGCAACATTTGTATGGGAAATATTTATTACCATTGACTAATTCTCATAATTCACACTATTCGATTCCAAACAATATTCCGCTTTCATATTAAATATTATCAATAAACCAATTATTCTGCGGTATTTATTTATTTATTTTTATTTAAATAACAATAGATACCCATCAGCAAGAGAGTAAAATTTTCCTCTATTTTTACCAATCACATACATTACTGTAGAAAAATAATTTGTTCTTGTTTTATTGAATAATTGTTTGAATAATCATAACTCAATGAAATAGTAGTTATATAAAACATAATATTCCCGTTATTTACAACAAAATTAGGGTAACATGTTGATACTTGTTTTATCATTTTTCATTGGAATTTAAATGGAGCAGAACATTGGATTTAATTGGGCCTGATGACATTTAAACAAGAATTAATGCAACTGTTATTGAACAGTTGCTAATTGACTAATTGGTGATTTTGTCAATTAACTGATATTTATTTATTTCAATTATTTATTCACCATCGATAAAATCGAAGCGTAATCAAGTTATTTTTTATTATTTACCTCTAATTGAGAAAACAGAAATAAATATTGCTCACCTTCCTTATGATTTATCCCTAAATAAGTAAAAATTACTATATTACAGATAATACCTAATAAAAGGTAGATCTAATCATGAATATTAAAAAAGTCTTACCAAAGAGGATTATTAAACATTATTTATTTAAAGCTCTTACATGAAAATGTAAATACATAATTCACTTTGGTAGCTTGTACAATTATTGATGTATATTTTTTGAAATATTTAGTTACATATTAACTGTGAAAATATAAACTGTATCTGGTTTCTCATCTTAACTCTATATTACTCCTGATCACTAATTAATAACTCCAAAATAAATCACCTGAGGAATAACTAATAGCAAGAGAATTTGCTGTGGTATCTTTTCATTATTCAGAAAAGACTTCCTCCAGCAATACGACTAAACAATTTACCTATCCTACGTCAAGTTGGGAGTTAGGAGAGATTAAAATAAAAAAAAATAAGATGAGAAAAAGCCTGGAGACTTAGGAGTTTTAGAAGTACTTAAATATCCACAGCGTGTTTCGTCAACGAAGAAGAAACTTCTGGAAAACGACTTCCAGAGTTGAGTTATTGATTTAATTCACAACTTTCAGACTGAGTCTACTCGACTTTATGGTATTCGTGACAGCTTGCCAACTCTAAGTGCACATACCTTTGTATTCGAAAGAGTTGACTGAGTTTCTTCTTTAACTAGGAAGCCACCAGTTTGGAGAGGTCACAAAGTCGAGAGTCCGTGAGGGTTGATGCTACCTTGCTCCCGTCCAGAGACTGATACTCTGTTCGAGTGATAATATTTGTTTGGGTCGCAATCGTGAGGCGAAAAAATCTTAAGTTGAATGTGACAGATTTTTAAAACTGTTTTTTACTTATTTACATTTCAAATTAAGTGCAAGCTTGTCGAAGCTTGAGCTTTTAGAACAACATTTACACTTAAGTATTGCACTTCTCCAGTTTTTTTTTTTTTAAATAGGGGCAAAAGTGTATCAGATATGTTGAATATTAATGAAAATTAATTCTGAATCAAAATAATAAATAAGTATAACAGGAAATGTATATTCATTTTGCTGTCTTGTTATTTATTCCACTTGTTTTTTCCAAGAATTAATTAAATATTATGCACCAAGAGAAAATATTATTTTAAATATAAGATGATATTCTTAAGAGAGTGATTTAATTTATTATAATTTCTACTTTTTCCAAGATAAAATTTAAATATAAATCCATGTTGTTTTTGTACACAGGAGCTTTTTCTTAAGTGATTTATTATGAATAAACAAAATAACAACTAAAAAATTCAGAGTAAGTTAAATATTTAAATGAAATTTAGCTTTTAATTTTCAATTATAATTCTCTCATCTAATGTTTCATCAAATGCATCAAGATCTCTTTACAGTTTTTCCTTTAAAAACTATGCTATAAAAAATATTGATTTCACGTCAAAAACAATTTCATTCTAAATAAACAATATCATGTTCATGCAATAATCCTCTTAATTGCAATTATTCAGTCAATCTTGGAACTTATAACCAAAGATGTAATCCAATACTTAATAGATCTCCACCCACTGTCATCAATGAGATTGTTTCATAACTCCAGCTACAAAAAAAAATTTGATCATCAAACCAACAAAACAATTCATGAAATATAGCAAATATATCGATCAATCATAAAAACATAATTACTATTTTTAAATCTTATCACTAAAAGTAGAATTATCAAACATATTTACAGACGTAATTAGCCCCATTATTCATAAAAAGTTACAACATTTGATTCTGTAATAATTCGTATAAATTATTTACTGCACAGAATATATCTTTATTATTACCCTTGCCGCCCTTCTATTATCACGACATCCCTGGAGCACCCAACACTCTCTTTCCCTTCCACCCCTCTCTCAAGTGGTTAAAGCAATGGCTACAATACTATGATGCATATTTCATACCTTCAAGCTCATTGTTCTTCCTCTTGTTCCTGTTTCTACTACGAACCTTCGTCTCTCGTTATACCATTCCATTACCACGAGCTAGCAACGTTTCTCTCGTTTTTGTCACTCCAATGAATTGCTTACTCCTCCTACTTTCATTTTATTTTTATCATTTCACCATTGAGTAATTCATTTTGTGAATTATCGATTATCGTTGCTGGCAATTATCAACTCACTGCTGACTTTCATGTTATTATGGAACATTTGAAACAATGTGATAAGTAATATTTATTGAACTCAAAATACATTTAAAAGTTCATTACATCTTCTTTTCTATGAAAAAATTAATTAAATTACTTTATGTAACTATAAGTATTAAAAGCTCACTAGATAGCTTCAATTTATTTCAAATATGCCAAGAATTTAAATGTGTTCAGCACTTGAAGAAAATATTGGTAACTGTTGAAACTGGAGCTGAATCAAAAATTGCTGTTTTCAGAGTTTAATTAAGTAGCTTTCTTTCATAACCTCAATCACTGAATTTCTAATGATAATAACTAATTTTAAAGTGATTTTAATTTATCAAGAAATAAGTGGAAGTAAAAAAAAGTATCACAATTAATTAAAAAGCAATTATTTATCACTGATGGAAAGCTTTGATGTTGTTAAAAAAATTTATGCATTCTTATCACCTGTAATTAACTCTACAAAAGTACAAGAAAAGATGCTGAGCAAAGTGTAGTAGAGTTCTTGAGAACATAAATAAAAAGATTGAGAAAATAAATAACGTTACTGAATCAATGATAAATGCAAGATTTTTTAAGCCGTATAATTAAGGACTGTAGAGTGATTTCTTCCTCTATTTGGGATAGTTAACAAGAAGGTTAGTAATTTCCCATCAATTATGCAGATTCGTATCTCTAACTAGTGGTTGTCAATGGCGCATGCTCACGCACAACGAGGGTACCGTTGAAAATCGTGCCTTTGGTTGATTAAATCGCATTGATTGCATCGTTGTTCGTTGGATTCTATTGTCTTCCACTGTCCAGCAGATTATTCCTTTTCGATTTTCCGCGTGCAATTACTGGATGGACAAATTCGATTCGAACAGTAATTGGTGTTAAAGTACTTCCCATATTTTTTCATAAATAGTTGAGAATAATAAAATATGCAATACTCGTTTTCATTATACCAGAATTTTTATCAAACATTACAAGAGTTCAGTTGGGCAAGAATAAAATGTTGAGAATTCAAGAGAAATGAGCTGTGATATTCAGACGATTTATTTTCAATGAAATGAAATTTCATTATCAAGATTGTTTTTTAATTGACAGTATTTTTTTTCAATAAAATTTTTTAATTTTCAGTTAAATATTTTAATTAATTAGTTTTCAGAAATTAATTTTTTTCTACACTAAATTTCGATTTTATATTAACCTTAAATATTTTTTTTAAAATAAACTATGGAACATTAAATTTGACAAACATGGATGAATTGAATTTTAACAATGGTTATGTTTAGAGTGAGTGATTAATTTAAAACGCAGATAAATTGATATTTTAATGAGAATCGATTTCGTGTCAAAAATTTTAGCTTCAAGACATGGTAAGTTTCCATCATCAGCTTTTGCTGATTCATTTTATATTTATTTAGGATATTTTTAGTCATTTATTCTGTAATTATCATTCAATTCTGAAAACGACATGACATAAGTAACATCTGGAGTAAAATTTATGGAACTTTGGACAGGATAAAAATAGGAAGAGAAAAAAAGATTTATATTAAAAAAGAATTGCAGTTTTATTACAGTGCTACGTGAATATAATACACGATGTGTAGCTTTCGTGATACAGTTTTATTCGCTGTTTAGAATTAATTTAGCCCCAATACCAAAGTTAGTTGACGAACATTCGATTGATAGTCTATTTACCGACTTAGTAATGTTTGTTATAGTACAGGTCTGGGGAAATATGTAAAATTGTACATGATATCATACTCGAAAATTACTGGTCATATGCGTGGTATTATGTAGCAGTAGAGCTTGCAGCCTGTCTGATGGTTTTGTAATTTAATATGTATCACACACCTGGTATTACCACACCGCCAAACAGTCGTTGTGGTCTTCCACAATTGCTAAGAGTTATAATTTACAATTGTTTCAATTTTCGGGTAATTGTTTACAATAAGGGAAGCAAGAAATCATGATTACTATTGGCTTTGCAAACCATAATAAAACTGATAAATGATCACGATAAATTACTTGAAAGAAATTAAATCCAGTTAAATAGACATTTGATTTTTCTTTTACGTTGCATACCAAAATTTGATTGAATCAGGTAGTATTACAAGTACTTTAATTATTGAACAAATTAATCTGACATCTACATGAGATTATTGGCATTATACATCACATAAAGGAAAATAAATGAATTTTTAACAATATAAATTAGCTTAAAAATTGTATCAGACGATATACTGAATAATTGAGCATCATAATTAATGGTTGAGCGTTAAATCCTATTTTGCATTTAAAATTTCACTATTTAATTTCCGTTGTTTAGTTAATGAACAAAATTACCAAAAGATTATTAAATATTTATTTTAAAAGACAATTGAATAAAACTAATGATTAATTTATCATTCAATCTTATCTTGTTTCCGTTAAAATAAATAATTACCATTTCTAAATTATCAACTCTGACGAGTTTTAGCACTTAAAATATATGTAAAAAATTTCTAAAAAAATTTTTAAGTTCAATTTTCTCCTATCTTCTTTCACTTTATAATCACAATAATGAATTTATCGTTTTTATTTCTCTTAAACAAATAATATATTTGTGAATAGATTAAATAATTCACAAATAGATAGACACACACTTAAGGTGTTTGTTTTATTTGCACAGAGTCTAATATGATAATCATTTTACACATGTATTGTCCAAAGAAGGAAGTGGAGGGCAACGTGATTTTCCAGCGTATATAATAGAGGTTCTGGTGAATTAAACGTTCGTGATCGCGCTGGCCGTGTCACCACCAGAACCACTAACTTGACGCTATACATTAAGGTTCGTACTACCCTGCACGTTGTTAATAAAACCTTGATGTTGAGCTTCTTGATTAGCAGCAGCTCGTGCTGCATTACCGGCCTCACCACTTTGGATGCTAAAGTGTCGATAAGATATATATTCTGGAGGCACAGGCTGTTGATCGCGTTTCACCGCCTCTCTCTGTTTCTTGACTTTTAAATAGCCAAGAACGGAAACGAGGAGTATGAAAACAACAAAACCCATACAACAGCCAACAATTAGGCCTAATCTCCTTGTGAGAATATTTGTTACACCGCTAGCATCACTCATGGGAGCACCATCACTACTAACAACTATTGCATTTGGTACTTCAAGTGTCTTCGCTTCAGCACATCTACTTGTCGCTGAGTCTACCATCTCAGGTAATGATGTTGCTTCGTATACGTCGTCCCGCGACGCATTCAATTGGTTGATTACGTTACTCTCCTCAACACTTGTCAGCCAATTTCCCAAACCCACTACGCAAATCAAGTATCTCGTATTGGAAAATAACTTGGTGAGCCTCAACGATCGAGCATTTGGACCCAATATCCATCCTAGTGCCTGAAACATAATGCATTCAATGACATTGAGCTCTGATTATTGACTGGAATAATGGATAGATAGTGTCATGCTTTATATCATACTATAAGTCTACTATCATCAAGCCTAGCACAATTTTGGTCTGCACGAAATATGTCACCTTAGTGTTGCGTGACCTGACATCTGATTTGAAGGAGAATAGAAGGAAACTTATTTGAGAATTATATAGATCATAAATTAGTTCAATATCAGGTGATAGTAAAGTGCAGTCATACGGGTGGTATAACACACTTCCTTCTTTTAATGAAAAAAAAATTCATAACGTGCTTTGTTGATAAATATTATTAACTTGGTAAAGAGTGCATGAAAAAAATTGATTCAGGAAGATTAATAAACTTTTTTTGGTTGTCATATCAGAGATATTTGTATAGTTGAAAAATATTTTATATTTAGATCAAATAATGTCTTTTAATAATGGAAAAAATAAACTCGATAACTTGTTTGAAGCAGAAGATAAGTAAAAAATTCTAATATTTTTCAAGTATTGATCTTTTTGTGATAAAAAAAATTGAGTTTTAATAAACGTGAAAGCATTTTGAAGTTATTAGTTTGTAGTTTTTTATATTTAACTTTTAAAAATTATTCATTTATTATTTTTTTTTCATAAAAACGTATGAAAAATCATTAGAAAGTCCTTAAATTATTAGTCAACTTTTAAAGTATTTATGAAATATAAAAAGCAAATGACTAACTAACTTGAAGAAAATACTTTGAAGCTAATTTCTTTTGCTTTTTCAAAGTATTTTTCCTCAATTAGCATATGATTTTCTGAAATGAGACATCAGTAAAAAAGTTCTTTTTAATTTTACATCTTTTTAACTGTTGAAGAAGTAAGCTTAAAAAAAATTATAAAAGTATCTCTTTTTTATGGTTAAAATAATCAAATTTATCGTTTGTCTCTCCATTTTTTTTAACAGAAAATCTTTTTTTAAAAAACTCAGAAGACTAAAAAGTATTAAAATATTCAAACTTTTATAATGTTTCACAAATAAAAATTCTCTCACAAAAAAAAAGACTCGACGGAGTAAAAAAATTCTTATCAAAGAAGCAATTCTCCAAGGATTTAACTGAACATATTTTTTTCTAAGAAACAATCATGAAACAAAGTGTGAAAATACGAACCTCTTCAGGGTTGTCTAGAGTTTTATAAGCGACTTTATAACCATGTACCCCGCTATGATTGCGGCTTTGCCAAGATACAAGCATGGAGAACGGTTGGATATCGTGAATAGCCAGCTTTAGAACAAGCGGTGTTGAACAAAAGGCATGAGGGTCGAGATCTAGGAAAACGAGACCACGAAGCTCAGGGGGTTGCTCACACCGCAATAGTCCACCCTCTACATCATTGACTCCCATCCCACTGCTTCTATGACGTCCAACACCACCACCAACAAGTTTCTGGTGGTCTCTTAGCCATTCCCAGAGCTCCTGAGATTCACAACCGCAGTGAAGAGGATTCTCTGTTAACAAAGTCATTTAAAAGCTTGTTGACGGTCCCAATGCAAAGATAGAGAATGTACTATTGCATTTATCTCAAGATAATAAAGCTTTTATTACCCACCTTCTGCTCGAAGACTTCGAATTTGTGTCTCTAGGGGACGAAATGCATTCAATGGCAAGTTCGCCAAATAATTCCGACTAAGATCGAGTATACGAAGTTTCTTGAGAGGCTTGAATGCATCTGGTGATATGGACGATATCTTGTTGTCGTAAAGGTGAAGCTCAGCTAGATTGCCCAGGTACTGAAATGTATTTTTTCCTATCGTGCTTATTTGATTGTACGAAAGGTCAAGTATCTGAAGAGACTTTAAGTCCATTGGGAAATCTTCCAACTCTTTCAAACGATTGTGTGTAAGATTCAAAAGTTTCAAATGTTCTAATCCCTTCATTCTTTCTTGTGGCACTAGCTCTAGTGCATTGGCACTTAGATCAAGTGTTAACAATTTTGGTAATCCACGAAATGCACTTGGTGATATACGTGATATTAAATTTCTGCCCATGAAGAGATGTAAAAGAGCTGGAAAAGCTTCAAAATCTTGACTTGTGACAATAGTCAAATTTGTACCAGATATATGAATCTCTTGGAGAGATGGATACCTTGCCTCTGAACTAAATTCGTGGATTCTTGTTAGTGGATTGGCAGTCATGTTCAACCATCCGAGACTTGGAATATTTTGAGCAGATAATGCTACACTGGGTATTTGGCGAAATTTGTTTCCCGCTAATTCAACCTTGCGCAGTTGAGTAGCATGAGCGAAGAAGTTAGCAGGGAGGGCAGTGAGATGATTGTAACTGAGATCGATGGATAATAATTTAGAGAAGTTGGCTGCTGCAAATCCTGATAAAGACATTATAAAGTTTCCACGAAGATCTAATTCACGAAGATTTGTCAATCCACTTAGTCTTGAAACGTCGACATGTAATACAACATTGTTCGCCAATGACAGAAATTCGATAGAAGTTGCATTGATAAATACTTCATAAGGTATGTCTTGAAAACGATTACCATCAAGTTTGACTTCTCGTAAAGATTCCAAACCCAAAAATAATATCCCGGGAAGTGAGCGTAATAAATTATTTCCAAGAAGTAATTTTATAAGATTTTTATTTTTCGAGAAAATATCACCAGGAATTCGATGTATTTGAGCTGACTCCATAGATAATTGTTGGAGTGATGGCAAACCATCAAGCGACTCACTATTAATTTGGCTAAAATTATTGTTGGAAATACGGAGCACTCGTAATCCTGGAATATCAAGACGGTCTAATGCAGTAGCTGTTAAGTGGTTATATTCTAAATTAAGCTCATAAAGATTATTAAGTCCTCTGAATGCTCCTTGTTCAATCACACTAACTGTACAATTTCTCAAGTTCAATGTCCGTATAGGTAGTCCTTCTTGAAAGATAGTATTATGGAGAATATTCAAGTGATTATTTGCCAGGTCGAGAATGCGAAGACGCTTGAGGGCTGTAAGAGCATAAGGATCAAAACGCCTTAGACCATTATCCTGTAGGTAGAGTTCCTCAAGCTCATGTAATTCAGAAAAGGTCTTTACTGTGACATGACTTAATCGATTCATGCTCAACTCGAGAAATTTAAGTGCTTGCATTGGCTGAAATGCAGTGTCTTCAATGCGTGAAATAGAATTGTTCGTGAGATATAGTCTTTCAACGAGAAGTAAATCACGAAATAGCGGCGCTTGAAGTCTAGTTAATCTGTTATGACCTAACCACATGATCCTGACTGATGCTTGGCCGCGCAATGAATCATTATGAAGTACACCAAGTCCATTATTGTCCAATTGAATGGAAACAAGAGAACTTCCACCAACTCCTCCATTTTGTCCCACATCACTTGATACTTGAAACACATCCCCGAGAACTGCTAATAAGTTGCCTTGTAAATTGACATGCTGCAAGCTGTGAAGTGATCTCAGAGCTCCCGTCTCCATGTCTGTGATTGCATTATTCTGGAGATGTAATTCCAGAAGTGAAGGTAGAGGCGCAAACACGCCTCGTCGAACCTCAGTAATTTGATTGTCCTGCAAACGTAGCTCTCTCAGTTGTTTCGCTTTGGCAAAAGTACCCACCTCGAGTTCGCGAATGTTATTACCGTCCAATGAAAGAGTTGAAAGGTTTTCGCAATGCTCAAGAAAATCACGAGGCACCTTGGAGATGTAATTCCCACTAAGATGAAGTTGGGCCAACTGGCTAAGAGTAGCTAGACCACGTGAGTCTATTCGTCTAATAGCATTCTGTTGTAGATACACAACTGAAAGGCTAATACTTCCAGAAAAAGTATCAGCTGGTATTTCAAGAATATTATTTTCTGCTAGAAATAATTCTTTTAGTTCAGGCAAATTTGCAAAAACTCCTTTTATATAATGTATATGATTATGACTAAGATCAATTGATCTTAGTTTCTTATTGGCACGGAATATGGCAATGTCTAAAAAGACGATTTTATTATGACTCAAGTCAATGGATTCAAGGTGAGTCAGTGAAATAAAAGCATCTGGATCCACTGATTCAATAGCATTGTAGTAAAGGGAAAGAGTCTTCAATGCTGGACTACAACGAAAGCAATTTAATGGAATTTTTTCAAAGTTATTACTGCTTAAATCCAAAAAATTGAGCGCATCTAGACGTGAGTATCCATCTTCAGGTAATTGAGATACTTCATTCCAAGCTAACCGCAATGATGTTAGACGTTCTAATCTCCTGAGTGCTGTCATTGGGAATATCCTAATTTTATTTTCAGCTAAATCAAGATCAGTGAGAGTAGCTTCTAGTCCAGCGAATGCATACTCTGATATCTTGCTTATTTGATTACCCTTGAGGTTTAGCTTGATCAAAGATAGGCCAAAAAAACTGTAACTAGGGAGCTCGTGAATGTGATTGACTTCGAGATCTAGTGCATTAAGATGGGTTAGCACAGCAAGAGCTTTCTGTGGCACTTGTTGAAGTCGTCCAGATACGAGACCAAGTGATTCAAGACTTTGGCTGAGTTTCACGAATGCATCCTCATTTATTTCACGAATACTTGAGTGGGATATTTGTAGATGTCGTATCTGTGTTCCAGAAGGAAATACTGTTGCCTTGAGCTCCTCTATTTTACGATCCAGCTCGTAGATGCTCAATGACTGCACCACTGCTTCTGAATAAATAAAAAAATAATCAAATGTATATTTTTGAGTTTATTTTTCTATTGAGAAAATATATTCGATACAGACCAATTATTTATTGTACAAATATATACATAGATGTGAATGAGTATGCGTATGTGTGTGTGAGTGTGTAGTTATAGATATACTGAACATCCCTCAAGATATGACGGTAATTAAGTTTAGAGAAGCACAGTGTGCGAGATTGAAATTGAAATATGCCGCTAGCGAGATTACATCAATCATTCCGCTGCAGCTCGCACCGCAGCACACTTTGCTAGGGTTACGTGACGTCACCGACTACTTAAATCCAGGTCAACTTTTATTTTTACTTAGCTTGAATGACGACTTTAGCGACCAGGTCATCAGCTTTCACGTTCGCAGGTCACGAACTCGCCAATCATGTACCTTCTCTCTCTTTCTCTCAACTTTATTCTCTTTTCATGTGTCTCTAAAGACTACTATCCAAGTCTGATCGATATTAAATATATATATTTTTCACTTTTTACGTACCTTCGGAGCCAGCAACACTAAGAACTCCACTTAATGCAAGCCTCAAAGAATCTTCAGTAGCACCAGCACATTCAAGGAAAAGTCCATCTTCAAAATTATAACATGGACATCCTGGTATTGTCTCAGGTGGTGGACACTGAGTACCTTTAGCTTCTCGTAGCACCATCTGATCTGCTAAAATAACTAAATAAATGATCCTAATGATATTTGTCCATTGTCCACCAGGATCACGCCACTTTCGTCTGGTTCGTGGCCAAGTTATCCACATCATCGTATTGCTTTCGTCCACAATTGTAGCATCCTTCCCTCGATATTTATCCTTCCCACGAGGGATCTAAAACACACATGGAAATCTCGTTAGGAAAAATCCCATTGGATTACCGAGTCTAGGGTATTAAAAGCATTTATACTAAAATAACTAGATTGGTAAAGATGTGAATGGTCAAAGTATATAACAAATAGTTCCATAAATATACATAACAAATAAATTTTCAGTAAAGTTATATTTTTACCAGTTGTACCAAATTCGCATTCGACTGCTACATTAATTCTGTCGAATGTGAACTTAATCTCGTTCGCGTTAGGAGAAGCTTAAATCTTGATAGCTCAGTTAATGCTCTATCGAGAGACACAGGTACCATATACTGAGCAAATCCACTGTACATGGTTTGATAGTTAATGCAACAAAGTTCCACACGTGGAGCACCAATGCATTTAGATCAAAATGCTTTAACGATTGGGGATATGAGGTTTGGTGTAAATCAAAGCAACTATATCGATCCAATTGGCGGCTGGTCACAAGCTCCATTGTACTATCTAGACCCACAACGCAATTCAATTTTCTCAGTAACAGTGCGCAGTACAGCATACTATGCCACATGAGAATTAAATCGTTCTTGGTCTTCCACAAACGTTTGACCACTGTGCCACTAATTAAATGTACTTGTATAAAAATTTAAAAAAAATTTTTAAAACCCCCAATTTAAAGAACGTTAGAAAGAAGTTTTGTGTAAATTTTCTTCATTCTTTTGTGTGAAGGTCTTAGTCATAAGAGACCTGAAGTTGTGAAGCAGGGGGAGAGAAACCTTTGCATTTTCTAGCTTCGAAGGTGCCGCCATCCGGCTGCTGTTGCTTGGGTATTTGAATAAGGTCGACGATGGTAATGAGAATGCAAATGGCAGCACGCCAACTTAAGCTTTGTGCGAGTGCTATAACGTAGAACAAAAGCATCATCAGGCTTCAGTTCTTTTATTGCCGTCAAAGTAATAGGAATCTACAGTGTAAATATTTTTCGACCAAATATACATATTTAAATAAATATACCATTACTTTTCATATTTAAATGAGCCTTTGGAAAATAATATAAAGAACAAGCAAATGAATTTTTTTAGATGAAAAAAATTTTCTAAATCGACTGTAGTTACTTCAATTCGAACTCTTGCGAATCGACTCATTTTTACGTATGTCGACACGCAAGCTTATTCTCACGCAAGCTTCTACACTTAGTTTTATAAAACCTCAAGGTTTATATACGAATGTAATGTAGATTGAAATTTTTATTCGTCCTTTTAGAGAAGTTAGTACACATTCAGTAACTTGTATATTGTTCTCACTATCCTGGCCTTACTTTATTTTATGTAGATGCTAACCGACAGTTGCTGCCGAACGTCAACGACATTAGAATGAGTAATGCCGACAACACGAAATCGAGCAGGAAGCGCGAGGAAGCGGAAGTGCCTTTCGTGCGATACGGGACTCTGCAGCTCTAGCTCGAAATTCTCGTCGATGTTAACGGCATTTGTGGACTATATCGGGGCAATAAATTTTCCCAAAAGCCAACAGCGATATCTCTCCGAGTTGTAGGATGAGACCAAAGAAGAGAAGAAACAAAAGTTTAGCTGAAGACATGTGACCACCTTTCCTATAGTTTTATACTTGTCAGTTTTATCTCCCAATTCCCTCAGCATCCTCCTCTATGTAAGCACTAACTTCATACTGTGACGAACTTGTACGTAAACTAATAAATTTTTTTCAACTCATTGCAATTTAATGGAATTGTTTACTTCTTTTTTTTTTTCGTCTGAGACAACAAAAATTGATTGAAAAAATAATCAGATAGTAATTGTCTTTTTTTGATTAAAGTTTTTTTCTACAATGAGTACCGTGCATTATTGTTTTTAGATAATCAAGAATGACAATTTTTAACACAAATATCGAAGCTTGTTTTGTCTTGTTTATCTTCCGAAAGTGTAGAAGTGTGTATATCTATGACATCAATCTTGACACGCACGCGTGCTGATTGTTAATAGGGTATTCAGGGACAAAATTAAATAGATTTACAGAGATCTATAATTTTTTGTTATTTTTTAGATCTACTTAAATGTAATAAACCAAAGAAAATTCGATTTGCGTAGATCGGTGTATAGATATGATCTATACAAATTAATGTACATCAACGAGATCTTTGTCGATCTTGATGATAAAAAAATTAATGCATCTATAAAGTAGATCTAACTATGCCAAAAAAGATCTATGTAGATTTATTTTATTTTTGAACGAGATGAAAAAAATTATTTCACTCATTTTTTAAAATAAATATTAATAAAACTTAATAACCAAGGTATTAATAAATATTTTATTATTAAACATTTTAAACGATGAATTAAAATTTTTGTTAGTTTCAAATATTTTAAATGGTAAGATAAGAATTAAACGAAGGAATTATCTGTTTAATTGTTCAACAAGTTCTTAAAATATTTGTTGTATAAAAATAATATTAATTATCCATACAAAGTTTCAAGTTGACTCAAGTAAAAATTAAAAAAGCTCTTTAAAAAAACTACAATCGCGAAAAGAAGGAATTTAGAATGATTTCACTATCAATAAATCTGGTATTTACGAAGCTATTTAAAGGGTAATAAAAAATTCTATTAAAAAAAATATCTAATGTTTACAAGCACTTTATTATCACCATTATTTACAATCACATTTGAAATTTAATGTTACTTTGCTCAGATCTTAATTAAAAAATAAAATTGTTTCCCGTTCATTACATTAGTTGAAACAGAGAAAAAATTACCATGAAATGTAAAAAAGAAATTAGCTATTACTGCTAAAGTAACCGCCAGTGGAGTATACAAGTTGTACTTTATCGCATTTGAAATCTAAATAGAAGGAAGCTATTTAAGAGAATTTTTTAAAAGGCATGAGTAGGGCAAAAGGTCAAAAGAAATAGCACGATTGAAAACACATTTTTCCAGTGATTCATCTTTTATTACACCAGAATAAGCTTACAGAAGAATTATGGAGAAATAGGTAATCTTCAGCTCCATTAACGCTTTGCATATTATACATACACATGCCATTCTTTTCAATAATGTCATTCTGTTTTTACACTCAATTAATTTTATTCATGATAAGATTTTAGTGGGTTTGAATAAATGTACATACATATTCAGTACAGTAGCATAGGTTAAGCTGTGATAATTAAAAAGAAAAATAAAAGAAACTTATAATTTAAGACAATCTTTCTGAATGAACTAAAGTTGGACATTGTCTTGGTTAAGAATTCGTCGCCCAACGTTATTACGTTTTTCGCTTCCTTTGAATTTAAGCTTTTTATTTTGCTCGACATCGTCTTATCTACGAATCTTTGTCACGAAACTTTGAACAAAAAAAAAGAAGAAAGAAAGAAAAAAAACGAACATTTAAGTGCAATACAATTATCAAGAAACTTTTCTATCGACTTGCTGCATTTTCGCTGATGTAAAAGTTCGTGAAGCGATTGCGTATCAGATCACTGAGCCGTTTTAAAATCTGACAATCCCTCGACAACTTTATCTCTGTATTTTTCACAATGAACATCTCCCTCTTGTCATAATTCATCATTCATTAAAACTCTGACGGAAAATACAAACTATTCTTCTTTGGAGAATATTGTGCTGTATCTCTTGGTATAAATATCATGTTATTTGACGACAACTATTCGAACGATTTCATTACACTTGATAGACAAAAAAGAAATGTAGCTTTGTAATTTATAATAAAACTCATGACACTTCAAAACTATTGGAAAGTTTGCGAAAGTTGATTAAAAGATTAAAGAGATTCTAGATGTTTACAATTTTCTTGAAGAAAAAAACATATTTAGTATACTTTGTTAACACAAAGATAATAAGATTATTTGTTTAAGGATGTTCAAATAAAAAAATATTTTTCCTCATTTTCTTCTTCAAAAATAGATTATTTTTTTCGTTCTTTTTTTAAATAAAAAAGTTTCTTTTCTTACTTAGACTTTTATGAACTACAAAGAAGACTTTGTGGGATACATAAAAATGAAGATAACGAAAAAAATATTCCATAAAGTTGAAATAAAAAAAATTTTAGATAATTTGAAAATGTTTGCACAAACGCAATAAAACGTCGGCACAACTTTCTTTTGAATCCTCGAGATGACTTGCAAACTATTGGAATTCTTCGTTTGAAGCCACGAAGTAGTCTAGTGGGTCAGTGAAGCTAAGAATATCCAAAAAAAACGTTGATGAATAAAATATATAAATTCTTATTAAATATTATTTATCTATTTATTTATTTATTAAATGCATGTTATAATTTTTCATATAAAGCTAAAAAGCTTTTCCACATGGCAAGCATTTTGAAAAAATACATAAATGATTCAACTTCCGGCAATCTTTTTTTATTTTGTATGAGAATCTGTCTTGGATTTACTATAAAAGATGAAAGTAATAAAAAATTCAAAAGCTATAAATTTTTTTCTGACAAGTATTTTATTTTACCCTAGAGGGAGAAGACTAATCTTGCATACAACCATATGATGGTTGCCATGTTGTTTAAAGTACAACAATCAAAATACAAACAAAAATATTTTTATTTTATGTGCATCAACGTTATACCTTTCTTGACTAAGAGGTAGGTACGTTAAAGCATGATTTATATGCGATCCAAGCATCATGAGTATGATTTATATGCAGAACAGTAAGTGGAATTGTGAAAAAAGTTTTGTGGCCAGCTAGAGCAAGTTCTGGATGAAAGAGTAATTAATAAATTACTTTTAGTATTCTTTACAAGTGAGAAAGTTTGTGCTGAATGTAACAAAAAAAAAATATTGTAATGAAAAAAAATGTAATAATGTAACAAAAGAAATTTTGATAGTTAGTACTTCTAGAATTTCAGAATGTCAATTATTGAATCAATCAACTAAATAAAAAAATTCAAAACGATTGAATTTCCTCACCAAATACCCATGCGGATTGAACAAATAACAGGTGAGGAAAAGTCGTTGGGTCACAAATAAAAAAAAAAAATCCCTACTGA